CCCTCATTTCTACCCTCTTGAATTTTCATGAATTTTCCCGAAATAAAAAATAAAGTTAGTTTTTATTTAAAAAAATATTTTTTATTCTTATTGTAAGAACATGTTAGCAACAACAGCACCAAACTCGTTTAGTTATGAACCCAACTTCAATGTTAGTAGAAATGAAAAGCTTCATTCCTTCTCATATACTTTCGAAACAAAAATCCAGAAGATAAAGCAAGAACTGTTAACAAGTAATTTAGACTGTAGTGCGAAAGATGAAACAAATGAACAGTATCTTTATGAAATGCAGGACATTATTGACCATTTGCCTAAACTACCTGAAATTCAGCAACAAAAACTAACTATTCCTGAATTCGACGAAATTGAAGTCAAAGCAACTGACTCAGTAGAAATAAAGAAGTTCATACGAAAGGTAAACTATGAGTTTCTAGGATTTCATTGCAACCATAAGGTTATGGACAAAGATTGCGACATGGTATATAAAAATGTTTCTGACCTTTACAAAACCCGGGAGTTTAAGACCTACGACAACTTTGTTTCGTTAGTTGCTGAATGTGTTTGGCAGATAAGAGATAAAGATAGAAGAGGTAAGGTATGGAATGAACAGATAAAACCAGCAGCTTTTGAGTTAAAGAAAACCATTGACGCTTTAGTTGTTTTAGCAGGTAAGGTTTCAGAATATAACGCAAAAATGAACCCGCAATGTTCTAAATGTAAGGCAGCAATTAGGAAATATAACTACTCAGTCAAAGAGATAGAAAGAATGAGAAACGACTATGCAGACTTAAAGAAAGAAGCAGAGAAACCAGCAGAAGATAAAATGGACATGTTAGAATTTCTGAACAAAAACTATCCAACAGCAGAAGATTTCCTATTATCTGACGTCAAGAAGAAGTATAAAGAAACTTTCGGCATAGTTAAAACTTTTGACATACTGACAGAAGAAATAGAAGCTACAAAACTGTTTAAGATTTCAAATATACATCGTACAATTCATGTAAAACGCTTATAAAATAACTGAGGTGAGAAAACAGGTGAGAAAACGGGTGAGATCTCACCTCTTCACCTAAACTTTATTTTTACTGAATTCCGTATGAAATTTCATGAGTTTTGTGTGTTTTAGACCATGTGAGAAAACAGGTGAGAAAACGGGTGAGATCTCACCTCTTCACCTAAACATTATTTTTGCTGAAAAATGACACTTCGTCAAAAAAATCCCTGAAATCATAACTGTTATACAAGATAGAAAATCTTACTCGCCTAAAACTCATGAAAATCGTGAAAAATTGCGAGTAGGGAAAAAACCCTGGTCGCCTAAAACTCTATGAAAATCATGAAGAACAGCGAGTACGTAAGAAAACGTAGTCGCCAAAACTCATGAAAATCGTGAAATTTCTCTAGACCGGATTTTACCGGCCTTGCCTAAAACACATGAAAATCATGAAGAACAGCGAGTACGTAAGAAAACTTAGTCGCCAAAACTCTATGAAAATCATGAGTTTCCTTAAGATAGAAAAAATAAAGTTAGTTTTATTTTTTTATTTTTTTTTATTTTGTATGTAAGAACAGAAATGACAAACACTGAGTTTGAAACAGTTAAAAAGATAGACAATAACACTAAATTGGTTAGAATTGGTGATTTAAACGTAAGATACTCAAAGAAATACAACAAATATTCTTTGTCAGACATTATATCTCCATCTGGAAAGAAAACATCCCATTGGGTTGGAATTGCTTCTACTCAGAAAATTTTGACAAGAAATCCTGAGCTTATGATATCGGTAAGATTCTGTGGAACTACAGCATATCTCATCGACAAAAGTCTTATACCAATAGTTTTGTTATGGATTGACCCAGTTGTTGGATATAACTTCATAACATATGGTTCGTTCGACTCAGAACGTTGCAGTGAAGGCTTACTTTACATCGTTCAGAAACCGAAGGACTTCAATACAAAGAGATATAAGATAGGAAGAACATATAATATAACTCAAAGATATGACAGTATAGTCAATAGAGTCAAGGTTGTGTTTGTTAACGATATGAGAGCTGCTGAAACAGAACTACTTGAAAAGTTTGAGAAAATGTATGGTGCTCCCACGAAAGGTAAAGAAACGTTTGAAGTAGATGAGATAGATAAAGCTATAAAATTATTTGACGAAGTTGCTGAAAAATACATGTAAAGCGTTTATTTTTGGTCTTTTGTGAAAGATAGAAAAAATAAAGTTAGTTTTATTTTTATTTATTTTTTTATTTTGTATGTAAAGACAGATATGTCAACATCAGAGAACACAACAACAGTTATAGTCCATGAAGCCATAAATGAAGAATACGAGTACATACAGTTTAACAAACAACTCCGTCTCATTCGTTCGGTCAAAGACGATATGTACCAAATGCAAAGTATTTTGACAGCATGTTTTGCTCCAGATACCAAACATACAGACGATTGGTTCAAAAACCAAAGCACACAAGAACTTTTGAGCGAAGCACAGCGAGACCGACTTTTTTCGGGGTCGCCTAAAACTCATGAAAATCGTAAAAATTTGCCAAAAGGTTTGAGAGGTTGGTATGTACATAGACTTCTTGTAAATGCTGTTGCAATGTGGGCTTCGCCTCGTTATGCTTGGAATATTTACAGACTTCTTGACGAAATTCATAGACAAGAACGTGAAGAGATGGAAAACAAGCTTGAAGCAAAAGACAAAAGCATTCAGAAAAGAATACCACGTTCGGTACCAAAAGGTAAGGAAAAGAACTATAAGTATATGATTTATACTGAAGAGATGGAAAATGAAGAAGATAAAGATATGGTTATGTTGCATTTAGTCAGAAGAAACAACAAAAGCTTTTACGACCTTGCTAAGATTTACAAATCTGACAGAAATTGGTTCTATCGCGAAAACTTACCGATTTCAATGACACCGAATGAAGATGTGAAACAAATAGTTCAAGATACGTTACCTCAAACACACTATGATATGAAAGGTTGTACAATACTTACCTTCAAAGAAGATTTGCCATTGTTAAAGGAAAAAATAACAGAGTATTTTGACAACTTCAAACAAGTAGGGTAGATGAACCATTTATTTTTACGCTTGACTTCAGATGGCTCAGGTAGCTCTATAATGTAAATTGCCTCGTCAAATCCTTCTGGCATTCCGAGTCCTTCCTTCCGACAGAAAAATATTTTCCCGACAACTGGAAAAAAATTTCATTCCGACAGAAAAAAATTTCCCGACGACAAGAAAAAATTTTCCATCCGACAAGAAAAAATTTTCCAGTTGTCCGTCCGTAAACCATTCAAATTTTCGAAAATTGAGAACTTTTTGGTCGAACTTCAGAAAAAAATTTTCCATCCGACAGGAAAAATTTTTCCATCCGACAGGAAAAAAATTTTCCTTCCAACAGGAAAAGTTCTTCCTTCCAACAGGAAAAGTTCTTCCTTCCGACAGGACACAAACGGATGACTGACGTTCCTCTTCCTGAATGCCTTCCAAAGCCAGAAGAACCGACAGCCCCAGCACCACAACAGACTTACTAAGACTAAACACTTAGATTTTTCAAGCTTGACTTTTTACAATTTGAACTTTGTTCGCGTAGATATGAATTCTGAAAGAAGTATGAGGGTCTTGTATGACTTTGTACTTCTCCCAGAGTTCATGTCTGTCAAACTTACCTGCCATGGACTCTTTCATAAGTTCCATGAAATCGTCTTCGGACAATCCGGGGAAAAGTATAATGTCAGTCAGTATTCTTTTAACATCCTTACTTAAACTCTTTGCTGTCTGTACACATATTACGACTGAGATGTTAAAGTGTCTGAGCTTCTTAAGAATTCGACACATGTCTTGTTCTCTGTTCTTTAACAAAGGATGAGAGGCGAAATCATCTAAGATAAGAAGACATCTATGAGGGTAAGTCTTCCAATCGTAAGATTGCAATTTCTTCGAAATGTATTCTATCTCTTTCTGTTTGTTTCTGAAGTGTTTCTTCTCTAATATTCTCTGCATTTCCTCATTTGGGTCTTTAAACTTCGAATTTATATACTCATTTATAGCATTGTACTTCAAAACCCTTCTTTGGTACTTCTTTATCCAATCTAACAACTCAGTATCCTTTATACATACTAACTTAGACTTCTTTATAATATCTTTGAACGAATTGACGGTTTGGTCAAATTGACCAGAAGTACTACAAATGACAACTAACTCATAGAATGGGTTCTTCTCATCTAGTTCTTGTTGTTGTGCAGCCATTTTAAGATAAGTGAAAGTCTTACCCGACCCAGGTGGTGCGATTAGACCTGTTATACCATTCTGAGCAAATAAGAACTTGTCATGTATAGGCTTTATCTGAGCATTTTCTAACTTCCTCTTGTTCTTGTTTAAAACATTCTCAAATTTTTTGTCAATGTCAGCAAACTTTTTTTCTAACATATTTTTAGAAAAATTAAAATTTTTATCTTTTAGAAAATGTCTAGCGATTTCGCTATCTATATTCGAGACAAGCTTTTCGACAGCAAAACTTCTGTCGACCATAAAATCTTACATAGTGTAAACAAGAAAGGTGAATTTGTTCTAAAGTTCTGTTTCTGGGAATATGACAAGAACCATAAAACATTAGGCAGAGAAGTCTTTAAGTTTGTCAATGACAGACTTGTTGACAGAGATGACGCCTCTTGGAAAGATGAAGTCCAACAAAAGTTCTTAGAATGCAAAGAAGACACATGCGCTGTTCTTGAAGATGAAATAGGAAACAGAATAGATGAGCTATTAAAGGACAAAGAACTTTTACAGAAATATGGTTCGGAGAAATTTGACATAACTCCACCAGAGAAGAAGAAGAGAGAAAAGAAAGAGAAGAAAGTAGAAGAGAAGAAAGAACCTGAACCAGTTCCAGAGAAAAAGAAATTTGACATGTAAAAATAAAATTTTATTTTTAGAACATTTCTGGGTCAATGTCAATGTTCTCTTCCTCTTTAGGAGTAAACACTGGCTTAGACTCTAAAATCTTTTTACCCAATTTACCTTGAACTTCAACTATCTTAGACTCATAATATTCATAGTCGTCTGCTTTCTTTGGTTCATAAGGTATAACAAGTTTGTATGCTTTGCCTTCTTTAAGGTTTGAGAACCTTCTGTCAAAATTTTCTTTGACTGCTAACAAACCTTCTATGTCTAAGTCTTCAAATTTCGCACCATTTTTAGTCACAATAGCAAACTTAACTGGTTCGATGTTCCAAACTTTGCTGAATGAAGACTTTTCAAAATGGTAGAAAGTAAACATTCAAATATGTGAATGGGTCTAGTTCTTCTTTAAGTCCTGACATGTACTTGTTTACTGAGATGAATTTTGCCATCTTTCTACGGATAAAAAAATATTTTTTTTTAAAATTTACTCAGAAAAATTTTTCTTTGTATATACACCATTCTGTACGTCTAAAAGACTTTTGACATTTGCCAAGAATGTTCGTTTAGACGCTGTCATATAACCATATTCTTGACAATATTGTTTATACGAATCGTACAATGACCTTTCATCTAATACACAAAGTCAGTTTCATCTATGAACAGTTCATATACACTCTTGTTTGCTTCTAACAATGTTTTGTCTCTCTTCGGTATGTGGAATTTGTCTTGGATTGAACTTTGAAATATCTAATGTCATAAAATATGAGAAACAAGTGGTTGTAAAAGTCAGATGTAAAGTTTCTGCTAAGTCGTCAAAATATTCTGTATCTTGCATATGAGAATCTGACGTTCTGACAACTACATATCTTCTGTCAGAACTTTCTAACTTCATCGGAACAGCATTGTTTGAAACCATAATGAAGTTTGCAACATTTTCACAAACTCTTTTGGTCTTTATATTTTCTTTCAACAACTCCAACTTTTTATCTGTTATAAGACTCTTCAAAGCATCTGAGTTCAAAACTTTTTGTTTGTATCTATACTTTGAAGTCGTTACAAACTATAAGTTTCATATTCTCTATTGAGGAGTTTAAACTTGCCACAGATGTTTTCTAAGTTTGTCATATTCGGATTCGAATAGCCCTCTAACAGTTTTGCACAAAATATCTGTAAAGAATGTGTTCTTACCAGTTCCTTGCTTTCCAATTATAATGAGAGCAGTTTCATTTTTAGCACTTGGATGTTGTAAGATGTTTGCAAACCAACATAAGATATACTCATAGACTTTTCGTTTCCATTGCATATAATTTCTTTGACATGGTCTAACAAGCTTCTATAATATTTTCTTTCCAATTCTACTTGTTCATATTTATATCCAGTGAAGATAGAATAGAAGTTTAGTTTGGAGAAGGTGTATAGAACTTTATACCTCGAACTGAAAAATCTTTCTAACTTTGACAATAAGTATATCCCAAGCATCTAACATCTTCATGCCAACTTGTACGACTTTTTATTTTCTTAAGTTTCTGTCTACATTCTTGTTCGGAAACTATTGTTGCTCTTGGTTTGTTAAAGACTACATCCCATTCTTTCATAACATAACATTCTGGGGCAGAGTCGACATAAATGACTAAACGTTTTCAAATCTCGACTGCTTTGTTATAGTCTAAATGGACACATATTTCTGAATGCTTGGAAGTCATAAAAATCTGAAACATCTATTCTGTACATTTTTTATAAAAATAAAAAAAATATTATTTTTTTATTCTTGACTTTGTTGTTCCATTTGTTGCATTTGTTGTTCTTGAGCTATTTGTTGTTGAAGTTGTTCTTGTAATACAATACTTTCACCAGTTGCATCTTCCAATTCGAAACTTTCTGCCGTCATTGACAAATACATAGGACATAAAAGTTTATCAGGAACAAAGTTTTGCGTCAACTAATGTCAACGTTATACTTGCCAAAGTGTTTGAGTTACTGGTTGAAAATTCTGCATTCGAATGAACAATAGGCAAACCAGCAGAGAAAGTATTGTTTATACGCATAAGTATCTTTTGGTCATAATTAGTTTTCTGTCGACATTCGAATAACACTTTGAACCTAAGTTTGAAACAATATATAAGATTGGTGTGCTTAAAGTCAATGGAATAGACATTCCTTGTATGACACCTTTTCCTGTTATAGGAAACTGTTGGTAGTAAAACCAGAAATAAGTTTTGTATTATAGTCATATTGTTTATAGTAAACTCAGTCGGACATCCAAACATAATGAAACTGCTCTAGTTGCAGCACATGTTACACCGTCCTTAAAGTATTAAATAAGTCAACAAAACCTGTTGGTGGTATATCTGAGTAAGTATCTTCAAAGGAGTATTTTTTACATTCACAACAATAAAATCTTCTGGTGTCAAAAGAGCAAAACAGGCTTTAGTCGTCATTGTGTTTAAAGTTAGTTTACAATATCGTCCTTGAGGACTTTGTAAGTTTGTTGTTATAGAATTATATGACTCAGGGTTTTTAGTCGTAATAGTATAAACCATTATATTTCTGCCATTTATATATATTTAAAAGTTTTTTCTGAAAGTGGAGAAGAACTTCATCTAAACTTTCACATGGCGTTTCTTGAAGTTCTCTGTCTAAGAAGTTCAAATATTTTGTAAATGACATAGAACTTTCCTTTGTCTACACGAACAAACAAAACAGGGTCTTTCATATCGTTCAAAAGTGTGTAAAGTCCTTTACATGAATATAAGTCTATATTATTTTTCTTCAAACATCTTTCAAGAAGTTTTGACATTTTTACTTAGCAAATAAATTTTAATGAAATGTTGTGGTCGTCAAATATTTTTATGACGTCTGGGAAACTATACTTTAAGTTCAACGTTTCACCTCCTTTCATAACGTATATCTTGTCATGACATTATATGAAACACCAGCAACTAATGTCGGGTTCTATTTCTTTTGATGTTTATATCGTCTGCCTCTGTCAAAAGTTTCAATAGTTCTTTCAAGACTTCATGAGGTGCAATGACATATGAGTTCACTTTTTACAGGGTTGTGTTCGACCAAGTTTAACATTATACTTAAAGCTTGAACAAATCTTCTCCTGAGTTTGAAGTTTGTCTTTCAGTTGTTGGTAGTCGTTTCGAATATCTGCAACAGAACTTAAGTCTCTGCTAACTTCAGGATATGTTGGTTCTTTTACAGGAACAATTGTTATACCATCTTCGTCTTCGTATGGTTTCCCCACTTCAACATCTCTGTCTTTGACATTGACAACAACACTTTGACTGTTTGTTTGAGTTGGTGAATTTAACTTCACATCTGCCACCGCCATTAAACCTTTTGAAACACTTACGCTTCTATTTTTCGGAAATGACATTTTACTTAGAATAAAAAGATGGACGTATTCGGATATCTTATTGAATTGAAGCAGAACAAAGTTTACACACACAAACAATACAAATACATTGACAGAATAGTTCTTTATACAAACAATGGTAAATGTTATAGAATAGCAGTCTTTGCTGAACCAAAATATTTTCATAAAGCAAAGAAAGTTGGTATAACTGAAATGGTGAAAGTTCTTGACGTTGACAAAATATAACAACAAAACTTACAGATATTTCTAAAGGTAAGTTTATCTTACAATATTATGTCAAAACTGGCGTACTGTCAATATTTGACGGAGAGAAGTCAGTTCAAGAACAACTTACTGACCTGCTGCCAAAATCTGCTCGATGGAAGCTGTCGTTATGCCAATCTGAGGAGCCCCAGCAGGTTTCATCGAACGAATCTTCAAAAGAGCATCTTCCGTGAAAAGTGCTATTGGTTTTGTAAACTTCTTTGCTCTCAGTTCATCTGGACCGTCTCTGTCACCAGTATATTGTATTTGTACAGTACCAACAGTTGAAATACCACCCATAAAGTCTTCTGAGTCAGCAAATGGAATGCCAAGCCAAAAGTTTGAACGGTCTCCATTTGTATATTGAGTTTTTTTGACCTCCTGTATGAGTCCATACTTTCACATATGGCATAATAGAACTTTGCATTTCAGGGTTAATGGTTGTTGTGAAGTTGTTGTTAAAGTTCATAGCATCTAATGTCAAGTTGTATGACCTCATATCCTCAACTGTAGAATATTCTTCTCTTGGATAATATTTGCCATCTATGTTTATATGATATTTAATACCAGGGTTGTAGAAACAAGAATAGTCATTTATAGTTCGTCTGAACAGTACAAACATAGTATCTGCATGTTTCATTGCAGTTGTTAAAGCAATATCTGTTCTTGCACCTGGGTCAGCACTTTGGTTTCCAACTTCACCTGCAAAGTCTTTGACAGATATTTGGTGTATAGGGAACATAAGTGGAACTGCAATATATTTGGCAGCTAAAGCATTTGAAATATCTGGGTCCAACATATAGACTGCAAGTCTGCTTTCTATTCTCTTGCATTCAAATTTTTCGCATGTAAACTTAACTGGGTCCCAAGCAGTTCCAGCAGCATTGAAATAATAGTTTACTTCATTGTTGAAGTTTGAGAAACCAAAGTCTAAGTCAACTTTGTCTTTGCAAAAGTCACAGAACTTGGCTCCACCAGTTCCAGCTACAGTAATGCTGAATGGGTCTTGTGTTGGTGCAATGACTAAGTTATTTTTGCTTGGAGTAAGTTCGATAGAAATTTTTCCTGCCCAGTTTGGCAAGTATCTTAAAAACCTGAAGATGAGGAAAGATGACAAAGGAACTCTAAGTTTCAGTTTTACTTTAGTGGCAGCAGTTCCATCTGAACCAGAAAGGTTAACATAAACTCCTGGAACGTTAGGGTCAAGTCTTCTTATTTTCTCAATATTTGCATACTGGTCTGTTTGTTCTCTAGCTTGTGGTTGTACTGAGTTTCTCAAAGCGAACCATTCATAGTTTGCCCATGTTACTGTTTGAACTAAGTCAGAGTTAGAATATATCTTATATCCCATGAAAACTTCTGGAGCATATTGGTATCCGACATAGAAAATTCCATTGCAACCTTTCTTGTCAGACAACTTGGCAGAAGGTTTTATTTCAATGTCTTGTTCCACGTATAAGAATGAGTTGTCAATAGAAATAATATGAAACCTGTCGCAAGCAATATCTACTGTTGTTGAAGAACCTTCTCCAAACTCACCTACGTTTCCATAAGAAACAGCAGTTGTATATTCGTAAGTTCCAGGAACTATTTCTGACCTTCTAATGGCATTGTCGCATTCGTTATACCATTCGGAAACATTTCCGTTCATAGCATCCAAAACTGTTGGCGTTATATTCTGAGCGGCGTACATTTCATATGGGTAAAAATATAGAATAGTTGGATTTATATATCATAATAGAACCCACTCGTACCAAGCTTTACTTTGTTCTACTCTTCTTCTTTGGTGTCGCTTTTGGTAACTTGCCCTCTGCTTCAAGTTGTTGCATCTTTGCCTCATGTTCACCTAGTATGTTGTAAATTTCCCATGTCCTTTTTGCCTTTGGGCTCTGGTCGCCCATCTCAGGTAACCTATATCCTAGAAAGATTTTGTCATAGTTTGTATTTGAGTCTTCGCTTATTGTTTGCATGACTCTTTCCTGAGTTTCCGGTTCAAGCTCTTCAAATATAGCTTGTCCATATGGAATAAGCTCGTTTCCAAATATATGTTTTTGTAGCCATTCTGGTTTTCTTTCCATGTTACCAATAATATCTTTTGTGAATGGGAAAGCTTTTACCCAATGTTTCAGTCTTGCGTCATTTATTTCTGTAGTTGGTTTTATTTTGTCAAGGAACATGTTTTTCAATACTAACATTTCATTTGGTACTGTCCATTTGAGTTTTCTTAAATATTCATCCCTTCTCGGTTCATTGTCTGCAAAGTAAGTTTTTATGACATTTTGTAAACTTTCGTTTGCAAGGTCATGTACAATAGGTTCTCTTCCTTCTCTCTCCCTAACTTTCTTTCTAAACTCTTCACCAAATATACCATCTCTATGGTTCTGTGTAGTTCTTTGAGATAAATGTTCTAGAACGTCAGGTGTTATATTTCCATCAGCCATGTTCATTTCATACTGGTCCAAAATATCTGCATCTTTCATATCTTTCAATGGCATTAAAGCCGCGCTGAAAATACCAGCTACATCTGGTTCACCATTCACTTCCATTGCGTCTACAACTTCTTGGAATTGTGGTTGTAAGTTTATGAACCACCTATCCGGATTAGCTTTATGACCCCATCTCATTGTAGTTCCATCGTCTGCAGAAACAAAAGTAGGTTTGTTTCCATATTGGCTAGGTTCTGAATGAACTTTAAACAATGTTTCATTTCTATATGTTTTGTTGAAATTTAACCTTTTATTTTCACCGAGTTCATCCAAAGATTGAACGTTATATGCTCGTAAGTAAAAAGGATTGTTGTATTTGTGTACATTATCTTTCAGTACTTCCATTCTATGCTGGATATTTTCATCTGATGTTGGAGTCTTTTGTATGTCGGCGAACATTTTTCGATATTCTTCTACTATGTCAGCTGAATTTTTCTTAGACTCTTGGAAAGATTCCATATTCTCCGCATACTCTTGTTGAGGGTCAAGATTTTTCGGCTGTTCCAAATCTTCATCTAGTTCTGTGAAGTTAGTTTCCAAAGGAGGGACTTGTTTGTTTCCTTCAGGCTCTTCTAGCTGTTGTTGCTGAACTATTTCTTCCATGTCTGGTTGTATCTGAACTTCTTCCTGTGGAGTTTCTTGTACCTCATCTGCTGGCATTTCATATATTCCGAGACCGTTTTTAAAAAGTTCCCTATCTAAGTCATCCGGACTCATAAACCTTTCTTCTTTCGTTCCGTCTCTATTTTTTACGCGTTTCATGAAGAGAGTTGAATTATCATTTAGCTCTGACACCAAATATCTCGGAGTAAATTCAGTCATGTCATTTGGATGATATGCTATTAAATCATATCCCTTAGCGAGCTTGTATTTTCCAGGTTTGAAATTATATCCCATTTGGTGCTGAACCATAAAGCTAAATAGGTTCGGGTCAGTATTTCCTTCCTTGAACTTTCTAATAGCTTCTTTATATCTGTCACTAAAGTCAAGAGTATCTGGGTAACCATAGTCTTCCTTAAGCATTTTTAAGAATTCTTGGTTTCCTTGTTCTCTACTTCTTTTATGTCCTTGCTCTGTTTGTGGTTGTGGTGCAGTGTTTTGAACTGTTGGTTGTGGTGCAGTGTTTTGAACTGTTGGTTGTGGTGCAGTGTTTTGAACTGTTGGTTGTGGTGCAGTGTTTTGAACTGTTGGTTGTGGTGCAGTGTTTTGAACTGTTGGTTGTGGTGCAGTGTTTTGAACTGTTGGTTGTTGTGTTGGTTTTGGTGCATGCCTGTGTCTGTGTCCATGTGACGATGTAAATGTTTTAGGTAGTCCTGGTGCAGGTGCTTCTCTTGGAGGGTTTGGTGGTATATAAGTTCCACCAGCTGGCACATATGTTCCATCTGCAGCATAATGTCCTACCTGACTTTTCGTTTTTAAGAAAGCATTTACTAGGTCTGTTTTGGTCTGTTGTAACTCTTTTTCTTGACTTTCCACAACAGTTGCTCTAACGGCGTCATAGGCACTTTGAACTGCCTGTCTCGTTGCTGCATCTGTTATTTTCGTCATATTTTGTGCTACTTCTCTTAACTCGTTGTCGAAACCTTCAGACTTCAGTTTCTTTCCAGATGAGAAGTCGTTCACTAGTTTCACCTTACTATGAAGAGCTTCGAAGGCGTTCTTAAAGTCAGCATTCATTAAAGCTTCATTTGAACTGTCTTCATCCGCTTGTATTTTTGTCCTTATTGACCCTATAAGTTGGGCTGCTTTAGCGTTGGCTTGGGCATCTAACCAGTCATTATTAGCTTTTATATATTCTGCGCTTTTCATTGCCTTTTGCATGGCTGCGTCGTTATTTTTACTTTCTTGTGCTAAGTTTTCATACTGTACGGTTTGGTTTTGCAACTGTAAAAGTTTTTCTGCCTTTACATTTGCTTCAACTTCTTTTTTATACTCATCGCTATCCATATATGTCTTCAGGGCTTTTTGTTTTATCTCTTCATCTTTCAGTACTTTATATTGAGTAGTATGGTTTTTCAAATTTATAACATCTTGTTCCATTTTTTGCTACTTCTGCTGCTTTTTCTGACACTTTTTTCGCATATTCCTCTGTACTTAGTTCTTTCAGTTGTTCTTCTTTCTTCTTTTTCTCTACGTTTAACTCATTGAGTTTCTTTGTGTGTCTGTCATATTCTAGTTTCTTTTCGTTTTCACTTATTTGTTTCTGTATGTCTATGTTTGACTTTTTGACATCTGTTATTTGATTTTTGAGTGAACTCAAATTCATTTGACTTTGAGGGTTATAAGCTGTTCCGTCTGCAGCTCCACCATAGCCTGCCATTTTCGCTAAAAGTGCCGCTCTTAAACCTCCACTCTGTGCACCTATAACTCGGTTTAAAAGCATAGGGTTGCTTGACATTTGTTGCAACATAGTGGGGTCATTCATAATTTGTTGTTGCAACTGTTGTTGTGGTGTCAGTTTTACTATGGGATGTTTCAATGCTCTCTTCCTCTTACGTATATTCTTACGTAGCTTACGTGGCATTTTAAGTGAAGTAAAAAACGGTTTTTGACAGATGTTTATATGACACTTGACAAAACATTTACGAAGAAGTCTTGACAAATTCAAGAGGGTAGAAATGAGGTTAGAAAACAGGTTAGATCTAACCTTCTACCCTAAATTATATTTTTGGGTCATTTACACTCATTACGAAGAAGTCTTGACAAAACATGTACGAAGAAGTCTTGAAAATTCAAGAGGTGAGAAAAGAGGTGAGAAAACAGGTGAGATCTCACCTCTTCACCTAAACTTTATTTTTGGGTCATTTACACTCATTACGAAGAAGTCTTGACAAAACATGTACGAAGAAGTCTTGAAAATTCAAGAGGGTAGAAAAGAGGTTAGATCTAACCTTCTACCCTAAACATTATTTTTGGGTCATTTACACTCATTACGAAGAAGTCTTGACAAACCATGAAAACATATATAATTTGTGAAAAGCTCCTGGAAGACCCGTATATAAGAACTTCATTTATACTAAACATCTTCAGGGCTAGAAGGCACGAAGTGCCTGGAAGCCCCACTTCCCTTTTTTTTTTTTTTTTTTTTTTTTTTTTAAACCATGGATAAATTTGGAATTCCTTGCAGAATAGTAGTAGGATATGATGGGTTTTGTGACTTTTTTTGTTACATCTATATATAGACGATGCATTAAAATATATTTATTTATAAACCATTAAAAAAATTAAAGTTATTTTTAAAATAATTTATTTTTTTATTCTTACATAAATGACCCAACAAGTAAAACCAGATAAAATAGATTATCGAATTTTAGAGGATGGTGTTCCTGTTTATATTCAAAGATTTAAAGGGAAGCAATATTATAGAATTGTTAATCCTGAATACATAAAATATTTATTTAAAAAGGAAGACTGTGAATTATTAAACGTTAATGAATATGAAACCAATAAATCAAAATTGAAATATAAATATATTGGAAGTGATGAAAGATGCAAAGATAAAGATAAAGTTTATACAGTTTCATATAATGAATGGAAAACCAATAAGATAAGAAAACATTTAGGAGATTATGGTAAAAGTTCCGAATTCTTTAAATCTAGTATATACGAGAGAATAAAATAAATTAGAAATAATTATTTTCATGAATAAAAAATAAACTTTAAAAATTCATGTCTTACGAAAAATTAAAACTTAGTTATGTTTATTATTTTATTTTTTATTTTGTATGAAATGAGCGTCAAAACTAACAACGTTAAAAAATTAGGATTCACAAACGAGGAAATAAAGGATATATTAGAGGAGGCGGGTTATGAAGTTAATAAATATTATTTAAGAAATTGTCAAAAATTTGCCGAGTTATTAAATGATTTAGATTATGATGGAAAAATGAATAAAGATGATGTTATAAATTTCTTATATCCCACATCTGAAGAAGAAAAACCTAAAGAACCTGATGTTTTCCCTGAATATTATGAAGAACGGATTAAAGATGATGAATACAATGAAATTGAAAGACTGAAAAAAATAAGAGATGAAATAGATGAAAAAATTAAGGAATTAAGAGAAGTTGAAAAATATAATGAAAATGAAGTAGAGGGTTTAATGAATATCCCAGCTTCAGAATCAGAAGTCAGAAATCTCATGAAGAAAGATATAAAAATTATGTCTCAGAATCAACACAAAATTTATTAGATGGTGAAATAGACGAAACACTTTCAGAAGAAGGTACTAAATTTATTCGTAAACATAAGTTACAATTTATTGATAATGAAGAATACCCTGTATCCTACTTTCACCACCTTTAGATTCGAAAATTCAAAAAAGCTCTTAAAAACGTGACATATGCAACTAATACGATTAAGAAAGAAGATCATGATATTTACACAAATTATTATTTAAATAAATGCACAGGTGTTGATAAAGTTTTTGATTTATTAGATAAAATATCAAAAGAAACCATTGGAACATATAAAATTTTATGTGATTGTGGTTTCATTATTGAAGATACAATAATGTTTCATATGAAAGAACAGCACCGAAGGAAGACGAAGTGAAAGGTCTATACCATTCGTTATTAAGAACATAAAAGAATATGAAAACTTATAAATATTATATTTATTCATTTATTTCAGAAAAAATGGAAGCAACCCATAAAACATCTTCTCATCATTTTATAGCTATTCATACATTCCTTTTCAAAGTTGTGAAATTAAATAAGACAGGAATTAGATTTAATGTATCAGGGTACGCATTCTTGAGTAAATTAAAATGTATTCGTCACGTCGCAGATGATAAAAATTTATGTGTTCTTAATTCATTTTATGGGCTTTAAAAAATAAACTTTATTTTTATTTATTTTTTAATTTTTTATTCTTACATAAATGAACAAAAACGGAACAGCTAAAATGAATGATAATCAAATTAGAGCAGAAGGTAGAAGGTTATTTAAACGCTTCTATAACATTCCTGATGGTGTTAATCCTAAAACTCGTAGAAGCTATTTAAATGAAGCAATAGATGCATATGAAGGGTTTGACATTTCATCAGAAAGTGAGAGATTAGCGAGAATGTTAAATGTTAATATTGATTTCTATTATTGTGATCCTCAACCAGAAGGCGTGGACATAAATAAGGTAGACTTTCCATTAGTGGAATCAATAATGATAGATCCATAATTTGAAACAGTAAATATTTTATTAACACAGAGCCCATGTGGAAAACTTCACGCTGACAGAATAACAGACGTTGAAGCACTCACCGGCTATAAAGTTTGTCCATATTGTAAAGAAGAAGTTTATTCTATCCGTGATGATCCAGAAAGGAAAAAAAAGAAGATTTTTAAAGCATTGTGAGAAATGTAAAGAACATAATGGAAGATTAATTCAAGACGTTCAGTTGCAAAAGACACAGCAACCATATGCACCACATATTACGAAACAGAAGATATATCAGTGGTTATTAGCTCACAATTTGCAGGAATATTATCAACCGACAAGATATTATATTACTTTTGACTTTGAAACATTAGAGACTAAAGAAGAATTACAACTTTCTGAGTGTGCAACTTTGAACGCTTACTTAAAACCATTCATGGTATCATCAACGGTTAAATTAAATGATAAAACATATACGAGGAATTTTTGCTTAACTTCGAGTGATTCTTTTATTTCTGATTGGATTGAGTTTTTATTTTCAACCTGTTCATTAGTTGCTAAATCAAATATGAGTCAATACAATGAATTAATGAAGCCGCAAACGGCGGGGACTTTGTCCCATACATTAAATGAAAAACAGAAGGAAGCATTTAAAGAACTTCTAGATGAGGAATTCAATAAAGTGAATATCATAGGTTTTAATTCGGGAAAGTTTGATTTAAATTTAATTCTTCGTGATTTAAACACTGCAAAATGAAAAATAAAATCAATGCTGGGTTCTTCTTCTCAATTTAAGCAAATCATTGTAAAGAAAACAAACACTCCATATGAATTGAGATTTATTGACATCAGAAATTATATAGCGGGTGGGACATTAGACCAATTCACTCAAGATTTCGGAAACAATAAATCACGTGTTAAATTCTTTTTCCCTTATCAATTCATCACATGGGAGAATTACGAAGAAGAATTATATAAAGAGGAACCATTCACGAAAGATTCATTTTATTCAGCATTAACCAAGAAACTATATCACATAGTGATTATCAAATATATCTCAATGATGCTAAAAACTTTAAGAATAGATTAGAATATTTTATTCATTATTGCAATAAAGATGTTGAAATTATGATTGACCCAATTGATAAAATTATTGAAGAAACATTTGTTTATAAAATTGATATGCTTCATAATCTTTCTTTATCATCGAATGCTTCAATGATTCGTTACGCTTTAGCATATAAAGACTTTAATCCTAATGAAAAATATCCTGAGGAAGAGATAGAATCAAGTTTTGAATTAACGAAAAAGTATTGGAAATATAAAATTGAATCATATAAGAAACAAGATGAAAAAGCAGAAAGGGATACTAAAAATAATGTTTCAATGGATGATTTTCAATACTATCACGATTTAATCCTTTCATCTAAATGCAAAATGTGTGGTAAAGCGTTTACATATGCAAAAAACCAACATTAGATAGAATCGATAATGAAAAACCACATACTAAAGAAAATTGTCAGTTAATGTGTTGTTATTGCAATGTCGTAAAATCAAATAAAGATGAAGATGTTCAACGTTTAAGAATCAATTTAAGAAATTATGCATTAAAAAATAATTTACCAATGACTTTAGATTCAGTTGAAGCTTATCACATTCTCCGTAATGGAATTACTGGTGGTTTATCAAATGTTCAACATAGAGTAAATCTTAAAGGAATCACGCACATTAATAAACTTTCATATAATCAGAAACTAAAACTGTATCAAATGAGGACACCACCAACATCATGACTCATTTTGTTGGTGTTGATTTTAATTCATTATATCCTTCATCATTTTCATCTAATCCTCATGATTTCATTCAATATACTGACCATAAAATGTATATGCCGGGAAGATTGAATGGTGTTATCATTTGTGATACAGCAACAAAGAAAGCAAAAGCACTGGGAATAATTAAGAAGAAAAATACTTTATTCGTGGCTGAAGTAAAGGGTCACATTGATGAAAAATACATTAATGATTACATAAACTTTTTACCGATAATAAGAAACTTAGATATTATCACAGATGAAAAAACAATTGGCAGTTTTATGTATAATTACATGAAATCAAACAATTACCAGTTGACCAGAAACAGAGGAAATTAACTCAGTTAGCATCAACACACAACCAATATCAACCATTTTCTTCTTATTATCTTTGGTATCTAATAGACAGATTTCATTTTATCATCGATGATATTCAATCAATTTTAACATTTACTAAAAACACTTGTTTTAATGAATTTGCGAACAAATTTATGAACGAAAGACAAAAGGCTGAATTAGAAGGAAATAAAGGAAAAAGTTTATTTTGCAAGATTTCGCTTAATGGATCATATGGTTACGATGCAATGAATACACAAAATTACGCAAAGACTAAAATAATGAATGCACAGAAGGCACGCGTTGCATGTATGTCAAATAAGTTTAAAAACATAAGAGAAATAGGTGAAGATACATATCAAGTGATGCTTAAAGATAGATTTTATAGATGTGATACATGTTTACAAGAGGCATTTTCTACTTTAGATAACGCAAAATACTGGTATTTAGTTTTCATTTATGATTTTATGTATAAATGCATGGATGTTAATCGTTTTCATTTCATTGAAGGTGATACTGATTCATCTTATTGGGCTATTGCTGGCGACCCAAATCTTCCTAACACTCAAGCATTTCAGCCGATTGTTACCGATAAAAAATTTTATGATAAAAACATTTTCAAATTCGCACCATTTGATTTCTTCTGTTTTGATGAGAAATTTAAACCTAAATTAAAGAATAAAGCTGAAGAAAAAGCACATGAGAAGAAGTTATTGGGTTTAGCAATTGAGAAACAAGGTGATAACATGGTTGCTTTATGCCCTAAGTGTTATACATCATTCAACGGTTCAATTGATGGAAGTGATTTTAAAAAGATTGCACAAAAAATGAAAGGTGTTAGTTTACGACAAAATAAGCAATTAACACCTAAAAATTATTTGGATATAATAAATGATAAAGTGATATTTGATGGTCAGAATATTAATTTACAACTTAAAAACGGGTCAATGACTCGCTTAACAATCGGTAAGACTGCATTAACAGGAGCACACACTAAGGCTGTATGTTGTGAAAATGGATGTTGTATGCCATTTATTTAATACAATTTAAAAACGTAGGGGTTGAGTCATGAATTTAAAATTTTATTTTTAATGAAATGCCACAGAAGAGACAAAAGGAACCGTTAATGATGCGATTCAATATGTAAATAATGGTTTTGATACTATGATTCAAAGAGGTGGGCACCCTTAAAACATTTATTTTATTTTTATATAAATGGATAACGCAGATTTAGAAAATTTAATTGATGATTTAGTATTTAATCAAAATTTTCTTAATTATTATGAATTAAAATCATATCTCCAAAAACATAATAACAATATAACGGGTGATGATATGGATTATTATTATTCGTATTATAAAAACGAAATTTTGAAATATCATGATAAAATAATTTCTAAAATTAAAGACAAAATTAAAATAATGAATATACAAAGGGAAAAACTAAATCACAACTTAAACAGTTGAAAGATTTCAAAAATAAAGTATTAACAGAAGAAGATATTGATGAATTATATAAATTATATAATCCGAGCCGCAAAACCAAAGGAACAAAAGCCAAAGAAGAAAGCCGAAAACAACACCAAAAGAGAAAGTAGCAAATGTTCAACAGCTAAAGGTGCAAAACGCCCAGGTCCTTCAGACCATAAATGATGCACAAGCTTTAATTTATGATTCATTAGTTAAACCATATTCAGCCCGACTTTTAAATGAAGATCAACTTTTGGAATTCATCCTTCAACATAAACTCGAAGTGGGAAAGTATATCAAACCTTTATATACAGCATATTTAAAACAAATGAATAGAATACATCCAGAATTAATGAAAGGAAAATCAACAACTAAAACTTCATCATCCAAAATCAAAGCAGATAAAATTAAACCACTTGCAATACCAAAACCTCCAACGACAGTACCTCCTCCTTCAGTTAATCCTTCATCATTCACTTTATTATATCCATTTCAAACATTAAAGAAGCAAAAAGATTTTAAAAAGGATTTCAAGATATTAAATAAACCAATTGACCCGAAAATTCAACCGTTAAAGGAAAAATTTAGTCGCCCTTCATTTGCTCCATATCCATATTCATACGAAATAGATCATTTAGAATATTCAAAAGGAAACGTTACTTATTTATTTGCCATTAACATTAACACTAGATATTTATATTGCATTCCAGTGAAAGGGAAAACAGAACAGGAAACAAGAAGAGTTATTCAATACTTACTAGATCATGAAAGAGTAGATAATATAAGGGGTGATGGTGATAAAGGATTTCAGGCAGCTATGGCTCATTATTTCCCACAAATTAATTTTTACTTCTCATCTTCTCCATATACGTTTCATAATAAAATAGTTGATGCGGTAATGAGAACTCTTAGAGATGCGTTAGGGGTTAACGGTCAGATATACTGGGATGGAAATCATGACTCCATCATACAGCAGTTAGTATATTATTACAATAATACATGGCATAGAACTATAAACATGAAACCGGTGGAAATGAAAAATGATATTTCAAAAGAATGGGAATATATTAGAAAGCAAATGGAAAGGTTAAATGATGTTAAACGTGAACAAATTAATTTGGGGCTCATGAATTTTAAACAAGGGGATAAAGTTTTGATTCATCTCGATTATGGAAAAACTGATAAATCAATGACAAAAAGAAGACGAAGATTTGACACAATAGCTGAATTTGTTAGATATATTAACGGCAATGCATTAGTTGAGGTTAACAATAAATTAATAGAAATTCCGATTTATTTTATTACTCCATTATATTTAAATAATATTTAATTTTTTTATTTCGTAAGAAATGAGTGACAACGAAGCATCCAAGAGTCCTGATTCAATTAAGATTCAGAGTCCAGACGATGAATATAAAAAGAAACTAAACAGAATTAAATCAAAAATATGCTATTAAAAAAAGAAGCTGCAATGCGGCGGGGATGATGCCCATAAAACTAAAGTAATTGAAAACGATAAAGAGAGGAAAGAAATAATCGAAAAATTAAAAACTTACCGTTCAATCCTTAAACTGAGTGAAGCAAAAATAAAAGAATTTAATAGAATAAATAAATTGATTGGAAGAGATGAATTTAATAAAGATGAATTTTTAAACTCAATCCAAATTTAATTTTTATTCCTCTTCGACAACGTCTCTTCGAGACGCCGAACCCTTCTGGGTTCTTCTTTCCATCATTACTGCATAACCACATCTTCTCGGTTTTCGTGGTTTGTTGTTTTTAATTTGTTCTTGCATCATTTTTATTATTTCCTCCCTTGTTATGATTCGTGGTAAATTTTGAGCTTGTGGGGTATCCATTTATATAAAAATAAAATTTTGTTATCAGTTATTTTATCATCATTTTATTAAGTTCATCTTTAGTTAATTTGAATGATAAGAAAATTTATTTTTGAATAACTGAAGGTGTCACTACGTCACCATGTCACCAGGTTAATTAACTTCTTTTAAAAAGTGTGACAACATGACATTTAGACAACACAGCAGGATTAATGCAAAAATAAACTCAAATCATACTTTATAAAGCTTCATTTACAGGTATTTCATCGTCAGTAAATGAATCCTCATTATCGTTTGGTTCAACCTGTTTATATAATCCTTTCATTTCTTCTTTCAAAACATAACACCATGTTTGTTTACCATCTATTCTTCTCTGTTTCCTATCACATTTATCTTTAATGCTCATTTGAAAGTTTTTGTCTTTCATGTCTGATGGTTTGCAGCATAGAGCATTTTTACACGTCATACCTGCACACAATTCATCATAATGTGTATTTATCCATTCATCTAAAGGATTTGTTGATAATTCTATTAAATCTTGTTTGGCTTCAGTCATCGGTATGATTCGTACATTAAATGATGAAAGGTCATATTGCATAAAATACGTCAGTAAATTATCATAAAATTCCTTTGTGCATGAATCCATTAAATTCTTGAAATAATCAAATTGACCCTTGAATTTACCATTAACTCTTAAAACTACCTATCTTCTGTCTCCAACTTCAATTTTGACAGGGTAGACGTTATTAGTTACCAAAATGAAATTGGCAACATTCTGAGCAGTTCTTCTGGGTTGATTCTTTTCATTAATTCTAATCTCATTATCCGTAATAATTGATTTCAAAGCGTTGAAGTTTGCGAGTCTATCTTCACCTACATTCTTGAGTTCATTAAGTACAAGAAACATTTTATTCTCAACTACTGAATTGAAATTACCCGTTAGCTCACTTATTTCGGTAATGTTTTTACATGAATAACCAGCGAGAAGTTCAGAAATAATGTCTGTAAATCTGTTTTTACCTGTTCCCTGAAGTCCTTTCAAAATAATTGCTGTTTCATTCTTGATTCCAGGATGTTGAATCATTGATGCAATCCAGCCGAGTAGGTATTTATACACTTCATCGTTATTATCACAAATGGCTTCTTTAATGAAATTCATAAACATCTCAATTTTTGAGTAATCTGGTTTTTCGAGAATGTTGTATTTATAACCTTGAAACGTTGAGAAAACATCTGGGGAATCAGATTTAAAGCAAACACCCTTAACGGTTAATGAGGATAATTGATTTAGTAGTACATCCCATGCTGTTATTGTTTTACCTTCTTCTTTAAATAATTTAATCATTTTAAGTGACTCTTTCATGTTTGATTGAAGAACGAATGATATTTGATTCATTTTGTCGTGGATATTATAGTCCTTTTGAATGAAATATTTATTTCCACAATCTACAAAACGGATTACATGTGATAAATCCTCAATTACTTCAGAACTGTTTTTATACTGATGATTTTCAGCCTTGCGTCTAATATCTGTTATCAAAAACGAGTCATCAAGTTTTATATCAAATGTTATTTTTGGCTTACGTAATAAAGGTAAAACGTATTCATCATAATATTCCTTTTGATATAGTTTTAGAATCTTCACTAAAACAAATGGAGAAGTCATTAAATGTGCATATCTACTACGTGCTTTTTCAAAATTACTTTTAGCATTTTCTGTTAAACTGCAGAAGTTATAAACGTTATTGTATGCTTCATTAATTAAATGATTAGGTAACGAATTAATAGCTTGAAACAGTGTGAATAATGTTATTTCTTTTTCTAAATTCATGTTTCCACCGTCATTATGTACTTCAAAATCACTGATACCATCAACTATGCTCTGGGCAAGTTTATCGTCAATGTTTACATCTTTGTTTTCATTCATTATACTCTTTATTTCTTCGTTCTTCTGTTCAACTCTTACCTTAATATTCAAATCATTTAATATATCATTCACTGTTCTGGTTATGGTCGAGTCGTAACTTCCACGAATGAATGAGTATGTATTGATTGGTTCTGTTGCATTCTTGCGAACTCTTGAATCAGCCATAACTACTAAAGAACGCTTTGAATCATCAATAGAAGTCATTATGTCAATATCGTAATCATTGCAGGAATAACATTTAATCATTCTGTTCGAAACTGCATAGAAGAAATTAGTGTTGCAATAAATGTGAAGACCTCCTGAAGCGGTTTTAACGATAACATCTTTATCCGAAAGTTTTGATAAAATATCTTTTCTAACTGTTTCTTTAAGTTCATCATTGTATGATTTATTGATATCAACATCTATAATCGTTAAATTTGATATTTTATTTACTAATAAAGCCACACCAGTTTTCCTTCCTCTTCCTCCATCGTGTTTGAGGTAGTTATGTAAATCAATCTTGTTTTCACCAATTCTTTCGTTGAGGGTTTTAGTTTCTGCCACAACTAATTCCTCAGCTAATGAATCAATAACTTTTTCATCAGAAACGATATAGTTGCTGTTGTTGTTTGTTGCTGTCATTTATATAGGAATAAAAAAATAAAAATAATTTTAAAACTAACTTTATTTTTGTACTGCATCAAATTTCCTGGACTGTTGTCTAAATGTCATGTTGTCAGTAATTTTAAGAGAAGTTAATTAACCTGGTGACATGGTGACGTGGTGACACCTAAAAACCATTAACGATAAAATATATTTTTGGTCGTTTATGACAAAAATAAATGGTTCATTTACTCACAATATTTTTGTACAAAACGACCCCAAACTTTTAACTTCTTTTCTGCAGTTTCTAATGCTATCTTAGCGAGTTCATATTCTCTAAATTCTCTCTTTAAATCTTCTTGTTCCATTGGTCTAGTTCGTATGGAGAATCTCTATAACCATAACATATCTCACGTTCATGTTCTAATTGTTTTTTCGCACATTTTTCTAACTTCTTCTTCAAACAAATGTTTAGCATTCTCTACTGTATCTTCGAGTTCTTCTTCATCTAACTTCTCATGAACTTTCTTGTCTATGGAGTCCATAATATCTTTGACATAAAATGCATACTTTACAGAGCACCATTCAGCAACAAAATGAACGAGGTCAGGATGTATGTAAATACCTTTGAATTCATTTATAACACCCTTAGTAAGCTCATAAAATGCTTGTTTTGAGGTCGAGCCACTTTTGGCTCGACCGTATTCGTTCATCCAAAACTCAAGAATTTCCTACATTTTAGTACTATTGAGAAATCTGTTTAAATGGTTTAACCTTCCCGCTTCTCTTGCCATCTTTGTTGCATTAATATAACCATCCTTGTCTCTACGTAAGACTTCAATACCATTATAAGTGCCTTTTGTGAATGTTTCGCCATTAGATTTGTTCGTGAATGTTTTTGCTTCGACTGACATTTCTGTTCTTACATACAAAAATAAAAAAATAAAAATAATTTTAAAACTAACTTTATTTTTGGACTGCATCAAATTTCCTGGACTGTTGTCTAAATGTCATGTTGTCAGTAACTTTAAGAGAAGTTAATTAACCTGGTGACATGGTGACGTAGTGACACCTTCAGTAATTCAAAAATAATTCATAAATGCCTTCCTCCTTTCGTACCTGTTGTCAAAATGTCATGTTGTTCGCTCTTTTGGAGCTCAGGACTTTAAGCAGCTCTGAACCATGCATAAACTGTCATAAATGGTGGCATGTAATCTTCACCCGAGCCTGTTGGATTTGTTGTGAAAGTGTGTGAATGATTTCCTCCTGGTTCAGTTTGTCGAAAAGTCTTTTTTGTTGAATCATTATAAGCTGGAGATAAAACATCATGACCGGCTTCATAGTCTGAGTTGTATAATGGGTGGTCTCTTAATGAGTGTATATGGTCGCCAGAAAAGTTTGTCGTTCCTGTATGCTTATGCGGCGGAAGGTTTGCTTCTTTAATTTTCTTTGAACCACTGGTTTGTTTTGAAGAGTTAGCACAGTATAAGAATTTGTTTACAATCTGTTGCCATGTACCAAAACCTAAAACACTTGCTGGATTTGTTGAATTCATTGATGTATAAATAGAGCCTATAGGATATAATGTTTGAAGTATTTCAGTCTTTAATGTTTGAAGCTCTGTTTTATCTGCTTTCTTCTCTAACTCATCGTTAACATAAGTTTTATCTGCTTTAAGGTCTAAACATCCTGAAACCCATTCTGTATCAGCTTTAACTTTAAAAGTCTCCAATGTCCATTCATGATACCATTCAACCTTTTCTTTAATTTCATTATCTTTTTCATCAACATAAACCAAATTTGCCTTCTTATTTAATTCAGTATTAACTTTTTCCTTATCTGCTTTCTTCTCTAACTCACTATCTACATATTCCTTATCCACCTTCTTCATTATGTCATTTAGGAAACCTTCTATGAATTCCTCATTTAAATTAAATCTTCCAATCTTCAAAACTTTAGGAAATGCATTTAATGCGTAATATCTCTGTTCTTCTGGTGGAATTGATGTTATATCATCCGTTATTCCTTTAATTTTTGAATTCATAAATAAAATTTCTTTTATATTTGATATCACCGCACCACCTTTGCAAACGAATTCGAAATGGTCATTTTTCAATACTATCTCCAAATCTCCATATTTCAACCTTTGCGTTTGTTCTGCCGTCTTTGAATTATATGCATATATGGCGTATGTAATGGTCTGAAGGACCTGGGCGCTTTGCGCCTTAAGTTGCTGTTGTTTAATCATTTATTACGATTTAAAAATAAATATTTAATCCGTTATCTCATCAGCTATTTTCTCTATTTGAAATTGCCATAATATTTCATTCATAAATTCTAAATCACAATCAAATAGGTCAGTTATTCTAAATTTAATATTTGATAAATCTTTTGAATGAAGAATAAATGAATTCCCGGATAATTGAAACGGATATGATAAAGAAAATGTGTTTAAGTTGATGGATAAAATGTTTTGTATTGATGGGTAAGAGTTAGGGTCTAATGTTTGATGTGAAAATCTCATTGGGGTATTAACTTTATCACATTTGATTAAAATGAAATTGGAACCAGTGTCAGAATACAAAACATCCCCAACATCTTTTTCAAAATTTAATATCCCCAACAATGAACGAAGATGAGGAGTATAAAATTTAATTTTCAGCGGAAATTTAATAAGGTTATTTATTTCATCAAGTTCAAAAAGTTTATCAGGTTTTGATTTAAAATTTTCTTCATACCATACGATAAATGATTCATTTAAATAACTTAAAATCATGTAAATATCCCATTTCGCTATCACATTATTTATATACATATCATACGTTTTTTCAAGGTCTACGACCCCGCCGCTATGCGGCTCATGGTCATCTTTAATAAATGATATATAATCTGAAGGGTCTAAAAGAATGGGATTAAATTTACCACTCACAGAAACGAGAGTAACATTATAAATTCCGCTAACTGTTAAATTTAATTCACAGTTATTATTCGAAATAATATTGATAATTGACATTTTTATTACGATTAAAAATATGGTAAAGCGTTATTTTCCAGTGATAAATAAAACTAGAATAAGATTACCTCAAGAATTCATAAATTCAACGAATAAGAAATTCATTCATGTTATAAATTTTAGTGTTTTCAGAAAATATGAGTCAGTGTCATATTCATCAACAGGTTATATTTCACTTCATTCAAATTTAGTTCAATCAAACCCATATAATGACCATTTCATAAGATTTTCAGATGGTATTAAAAATGTAATTGATAGATTAAAATATGAACAGATTGACAATATCGAATTTTTGGAATTTTGGTTTAAATATCCCGATGGAAAAAAGATTGAAGTTAAAGATAAAGCTGATACTATAACAAAAACAATTACAATGACCGATCCGGATAGTGGAGAACAAAAAGAAATAAAACAAACGATAGAAACTGGTGAAAGGTCAATTATTATTGATTATGATTCAAAGGATTATTATTCGATAATGTTAATGCTTGAATATTAAATAGCCTTAACAAAGAAGTTTTCAAGTGATATTTTATATTCATCAACTATTTTATTATAAATATCATTATATGTTAAATGAAGTTCAGTTGTTGTTCCGTTCTTTGATATCTTAATTGTGCTAATATCCTTTATAGGATTTATTTTTGCAACTGTTCCGCAGCATGAAACCTCATCATCTATGAAAAATTGAATCTTAACGTCTGAATCTTGAACATCACAAAGAATGGCGATAATGTGAATTAATGATTCATAAGGTAAAATAATTAAACCGGATTGGTCAATTAAATTTATTATTGAATCATAATTATTAATTATTATATCACGGTAAATTTTCATTAATTCAGAATTAATGTCTATTTTATATGGGTTCTCGATGTTTGATGAAAGAGGCGGGGGTATGTTGAATAAGTGGGAATTTCAACAGGTTCTTTACCGGGTTCAGATAAAATGATTGGGTCTCCATTCTCATGGTTTTCTTCATTCTCCTCATTCTTCGGTAAGTCACGAGTTAATAAATTTGGTTGAGTTGCTGACCTTGTTAATTCGGGGCTAACATTAACTTTAACATTTTGAATAATTCGTGATTTATCATCATTTACGTTATAACCAACCGTAATCTCTGCTTTTGCGTTAGTGTTCTTTTGACTAGTGAAACGTCTTCTCATTTATAATCGAATAAAAAAATATATTTAAACTTTTATTTTGCTGGAAGTTTTGAATCTATTATTCCCTGTATTTGTTCTTGAAGTTGATTTTTAGCTGGTTCATTGTAATTAATAGACCGAATATATTCATTAATTGCATTCTTATAATTATCTGATTTCTCAAATTTTCTTTTATCTGATTCCTTAACTAAATCATAAGTTAAACCTCGTTGCTGATATAATGGTTTCTTAATTAAATCTTTGAATGCTTGAGATAAAGCACCTGATGCAATTCTTGCTACTATGATTGGTTGGAATTGATGTTTAAGTTCATCTTTAACATTTGCGAAAACTGGATCGAATAAAGCAACTTTAAAGAATTTCTTAGCTGAAATTTCAGGTCTAATGTTTGCATATTGACCATCAAACTGGTTAGAATATCGTGGTAATCCATCCGGTCCTTCTTCAATAGCATTTAATTCTTCATTGAAATAAGAATATGGATTATAACGGTATGAATTAATTGGACCATTTTCACCTTCTCCAATGTATTGTTTAACAGCTTTTCCATTTTCATCAAATTGCATAGGATAACGTTCATTATATGCTTTACGTTTAGGATAATCAGTTATAGTTAATTTGTAACCATTTATGACTTTAATATTTCCTTGACCATCGGTAATGAAAACTTCATTTATACCATCAGGTTTTCCATTTGGACCTGTAATGTCTGCTTCGTGTGCTTCCCAATTTGGACTTTGACGTTTGGCATATGCTTGAGCTTCTGGTAATGTTAAAACATTTCTCATTTGTTTAACATCTTTTTGAAGACCAGCAACAATATGAACTAATTCTTTCATTCCATCAGGAACTTTCATAGTTCTATTATATGCACCCTTTTTGTTTGTTCCTTGTTTTAATGGAACCTGTAGAAGATTTGCTATTTCTGTCATGTTTAATTATAAATAAAAAATAAAAATTAATTATAAAAAGTTAATCAAATTTAACACCCCCGTTATTTAAATCAACTATTATTTTTCCATGTTCACCTAATTGCTGATATTGTGTGTAAAGTTCATTAATGCTCATTGGTAAATTCACTTGATAAAGCATAACGTTCAACTGTTGACGACTAAACCCACTGAAAATGAAAAGGGTTGATAGATTTGATTTAATGTTTGTGCTTAATGCTTTGAAGTATTGAACAGCCATGAAGAATGAACACTGAATGTGTCGACATTGAGTTAATAACTGATTAAAATATGATTTCTCATTTGTTATTAGTTTTGATTTCACTGCATCATCTAGAAAAATGAGTGAATGCAAAAATTCTCTATCAAAATTTGAAATAGAAAGTGTTTCAAATAATTCATCCCGTTGTTTATCAATAATTTTATCCTCTAATCCTTGCTTCTTGATTGTATTATATAATTCTTTATACATTAAAAGTTTTTTAAATAATCTTCTGCTTCTTCTTGTGATAAATAAATAATTGGAATTTTGATTAAATGCTTTAAAGATTCAAATGTATCATCTGAAGGTGAACCTGAACGGTTGATATAAATTAACACATGTGAATAGGGGGAAGTGTTAGCAATAATGATAATTTGTTTTAATATCGTTAATGTTTTACCTTTATTCTGTTTACCAATTGCTGCAGTGATTGAATTTAAATAACATTCAGAATATGGAATTTTCATTAATTTTTCCTTAGATAGAGCATTTCTATTATCACTCAATGCTTCATTAATCATATCATCTATGTATGTATTATATACTCCTGCTAATTCTTCATAAGGGGTGGATGAATTTAAATCCATTTAATCAAAAATAAATTTATAATTTTAAACATTTCTATTCATCAATATTTCATCATATGAACTTCTATACTGTGGTGGTGTACCTGTTGGATGATATTTCAAACCTTCATCCGGTGTTCATGTCCAATATGTAGTCCTAGTAAACCAAACCTGAGGAGGATTTGTCACCTTTGAACAGTAAGTGTCATTTTCACCCTGAATGATTGGATAAGCTTTCACTTGTACTGTAACTTGTGAGTTGAAAGTTTCTAATCCATTAAAGAATATACCCGCTCCATCACGTTGAACTGGAATAGTGCATAAGAATGAAGTTTGGTCTTTCCATGTTCTAGCTAATGGCGTGCCATCATCTGCATTCAGTGGTCTAGTTAATGAGTCATCGTATTCTTCTGTGCATTCATTCACTCCATCTAAATCAGAAGCTTGAAGCATACGTGTAAAGAATATGTCACCCACTGTGGTCATCGCTTGATCGGGGAAGTTTCTGGAATCTAAGTTAGTATACATAACAAGGGTACGGCGGCACTGCGTTCCACCTTACCCAAGATAACGGTTTGACACTTTACAAAACCACTAACGTATATTTTACAACACAAACGACAACACTAACTTAACCTTAAATATTTACAAAGCCGCCAACCACTTCACCTCACTAACGTTTTCGCTAACGACTTCACTAATGAAAAAATAAACGTTCTCACTAACGTTCCCACTAATGTTCTCATTTACAAAAGTATTGCAGCGCTTCCCATTGCTGTGCTTCACACAATAGTTCATATTCTTCAGTATCGCTGCTGTCACTCCAATCGTCAGAGTCAAAATCACTGTCAAAATAAATGTATGTAAGTTTTGACAAAGCTAATGAAACACGCTTACCGTTTGTATCTATTGCTTTTATATATCTCCCATTATGTTTGTTGTCGTAAACGCTCAAACTAACTTTACCCTTTCTCCCTCGTATCTGATAGAATGTATTTTCACGAGGAACGAAGAACAAATTCTTGAACTCATGATCGTTGTAGTTTGTTATCTCAATAGTTTTCGTCATTACATCCAAAATAAAATAAAAAATAAACTTAAAAAATAAACTTAAAAAATTTATAAAAAATCAGCCATTAGAACAGTCAGTCAGTCAGTCAGTCAGTGACTGTTCTACAAAAATATTTCATACACGACAAAAATAATTTTGAAGTTTACTCCTCTTCATTGCTTTATAACTCTCTTCCTTTCTCCAACTCTTCTAGCTTCTTCTTAAGTTCAGCAATGTTATCCTCATGAAGTTTAATCTTTCTCAAAATTCCTTCTTTATCTAATGGTTGCTTTATCTTTCTAAACTGAACTCTACCATCCTTCATAGTATGAATGTAAAAACCTTCTGGAATAGTTCCTGATTTAATGTATTCTACCAAAAACTTTTGTTTCATTGCTTCAGTGACTTTATTTGTCATTTCAATCAAATAAAAATTTTAATATTAAATAAAAATAACGTTATTTTTTCAGTAAGGAAACGCAGGAGTTTTACGATTTATTTGAGGAGTAGGTTCTGGTTTAAATGTTGGAGTCGGTTTAGGAGTTGACTTTTGAATAGGAGTTTGTACTTCCATAGGTTCAGGAGTCATTGAAGGTTTTGCTTGTGAAGGCGTTGGTTTTGACGTTGGTTTTGGCGAAGGTGTTGGAGTTTGTTTAACTTCAGCTACTTCAGTATTATTTACAACATTTGCTTTATTTCTTTTCAACATCATAACTGCTCCTGCTGTAGCTAGCAAACCTAGTGGGAGACCATATCTTATATAAGGACTTGACCAAATGCTATTTTTGACAGGAGCTGGTGGAACACCTAACCTTGGTGAGACTGCTCTTTGCCATTGTGCAGCTCGTAAGAAATATTCAATAGGTGCTCCATAATCGTTTGGTAAAGTTTGTTTCATAGATGGTGAAGGTTCACGAGAGCTTGATGAAGAACTCATTTATAAGCTTTAAAATAAACGTTCATCCTTTATTCCTCACTGTCGTCCGCAGCTAAGTTATAGTCATCTAATCTTATTATTGGGATTCCATTAGCACGCACCTGAATGGCAAAGCAACAATCCCTCATAAATCCAATAAGTGGCTTTGGTACATTTTCAGTTGCTAGTTCAATAGGTCCTTTAACAGACAATTTGTATGTTATTGGAGCAGTAGATGTTTGACCTTGCTGGAAGCAAAAATCCACTTCTGTTGGAAAACCACATAAGAAATGTGTGTTGTCATAGCTATCCCATTTATGTTCCACACTACCATCATCCACCAATGACCTCATAACATCTTCATTAAATCCAATCATATCATTGTTTGTATTGCAGGCGTTCGCAACCATTTCATAAAATACAGGTCCATATGATTTTTCAGGTTCTGCAGGCATATTTCCATAAGCTCCCATGGAAAGCTGAAGATATTTAAACTTAGGGTTCTCAAAATTAACATAATAGTTGTCTTTCTTTCTAAATAGTGCCCAAATACTTTTAACATTAATAGGCGTATAAGCTGCTGTAAATGTTGCACTTGAACTATCTGTATTCTTTGAGAATGAACCGTCCATAGGAATCCAATCCATAACTTTAACAGGAAAACATAAAGCCTCGTTTGTATAATGTTCTACAAGTTCTGTATAAATGTTAGGGTCTAAAGAGAATGACTTTGGATGAATGAAACATTCATTAAAATCCATCTTTGTTCGAAATAGTTGCTGGGTTACAGTTGTAATAGTAACTGTTCCACTAGCTTCTACTGCCTTCGTTATCATAGTGAATGGTTCATTCCATGGAACAAATTTATTTGTCGGTGATTTGAATCTGAAGCAAATGCAACTTTAAGAGTTGGATTGAAAGCAATGATATCATTTACAGATATAGATGTGCATTGTAAGGCGTCGCTACTGAACTTTACTTTAAGCTGAATGTTTCCTGCAAAAGCTGGAATAAATCGATAGCTTCTAATGGAAGGAATCTTCTAACAGGAATTCTTAAACGAAGCTTAAAATCAAATGATTTTCCTGCTGTAATTGGACCACTAACAATTTGTCCTGTTCTGCATGTTCCCGAATGACTCCATACATCTTCATGTCGAGTCTTTGAGAAAACATCTACTTTCTTTATTTGTTCGGTAGTTTGTGAGTTTGAAGTTATATATGCTTCTTCTCTTGCGTTGTCTTGAGAATATACGATACGACCATTTGCAAGGATTTGATATCCAGCAACTGCATAGAAAGCGTCATCGAAACCAATCCAAAATCCTGGTGGGTTTGTTTTATTGGAACCTGAACCAATTTCTTTATCTACAATAAATTGACCTTCCATTTTATACGTAATGAATGTATTGTAAAGGTCCAACATATTTTCACCAGGAGGTGAGAGATTGAATGTTACCCATGTGTTATCTTTAGCAGTTCCAGGTTGTGATGGAATCTTTGCGTCAGAATATTTTCTATTAGTGTCACCAATTTGAACTGCATTGTCTATGATATCGAAATATGAGCGAATCTGATGAATATGCTCTGCTGGAGTAAATTCGTTTAGCTGTTCGTTCTGCATGTATTTACTTCAGATAAAAATATCTATTTACTTCATTATTCTCACTCTTCTTCTTGGCATTCGTGGTGGAAGTTGTTTCTTGACATTTTCAATGAACTGTACATTCTCTTTTGTCTCAACTTCTTTCACTGGTGGGTCAGGGTTCTTTGACTCGGTTTGCTTTTCAATGAAATTCACGAACTTTGCAATAAGCTCTTGGTTCGTTATTGAAAGTACATCTGGCTTCTTTTCTTCTTGTTCTTTTGGTGGCTCAGTTTGAACAGAAGGTTTTATATGGGCTTCGCCCTCGGTGCCATGCACATTAATGTTGTCGCTTTCTGCATTCGCTAATGGAACCTTTCTTTTTCTTACGTATATTTTACCATCTTTACTCTGACTTACGTAATAGAAAGGATGTTGTATTCCTCTTGCGTCATTTAATATAATAGACTCTCGCTCTGATTTTGACAAGCTCATTTTACATCGGTTAAAGTTTTAATTTTGTTTTTTATCTGCAGTCAAATGACTCAGACAAGCCCTACGGACAAGACCCAAGGGGTCATAGATGTTGAAGCATTGAAGAAAGAAATTCGCGAGCAAATTTTATCCGAACTGAAGGAACAAAAACAAGAACAAAAGCCAGAGAGACCAAAGAGAAAACTTAGTGAAAAACAACTTGCTGCATTAGCTGCTGGAAGACAAAAGAACCCACGTTTGCTGGCGAAGAAAGCTAGAGAAGAAGCTGAAGCAAAAGCTAAAGAAGCTGAAGCAAAGAAAGAGTAAATGGTTTATTTTTATCCGAATTAAATGTATAGACAAATACCTTTATCTGTTGCGTTCAGTAGTGAAAACCCTGACGTCAAAATAAAGGGGAACAGAGTAACGTTTAAGTTTCCAACAGACTGGATTGTGAACATAAATGAAGAGAAGTACATTGGCATAACATCTATGTATATAACACGTGCTTTCAGAAAGGTTGACTTTATACTTCAAGTCGAGATAGAAAATGACGAACAGTCTTTAAGCGCCCAAAACATTCACATATACAAATACTTTAAAGACGATACAACATTGCAACAATGTATGATTTCATTTAATGAGATGTTCGAGAAAAAGTTCAACATTGAAGTACAAACTTTACAGCCTTTACGTGAGTTTCTTGCACAACTGAAAGAAGAAGGTAGTCAGCCACAACTTATAGACTTTCATTATGAATTTAATGAAAATGAAGATGGAACACATGACTGTCAGTTTGTTGTATTCTCACCATTCAATGAAGTCGCTAAAGAGAAAGAAAATCCATTACGTATAAGATTTCAAATCTCTGAACCAAGTGATGATTTCAAGAATGTTTTCAATTATGATGCAATGCTTCCGAGGAAAAATGAATTTTCAAAGATTGTAACACCTGGCATTTGGGATAGAAAGCAAGCTATATTATATTCAAACTTAAGTAAGGGAGTTGAAAATGAGTTCATTGGTCATACAAGAACTTCACCACTTCCTAACCCTAAATACTATAAATTAACTGGCTTCAATCGTGAGTTTTGGATAGACATGTTCTCCACTCATGACCATAACTGCCCAGTGTTCTTACCTCCAGACCATAAGGACTGTCTCTACATTGAAGCACAACTCTTAAACTCTACCATCGCAGTATTGTAAATGACCACATGGGCTTCGCCCTTGCCGCTAGCGGCTTATTTTTATCATGAATGGTCTCACTGCTGACAAAAATAAATGACCTCATTATTTTTCTCATTCATGACCTCAGAACTTAAGCTTTCTTATGAATGAAGTCTTAGTCTGAATAGAAAAGTTAAACTTCTCTTCAAATGCAGGTGTAGCAGACTTACATAAGTCGAATGCAATCTCTTGACCGTCATAAAGTGCTTTATATAACTTCATAACACTGAACTCAGAGTCTTTGTCAAATTTTCCTTGCGGAACCATTAAACCTTTATCTTCATCATAGAAACACTGAACAGAGTCAGGAAACATTTCATTAGCGGTTAAAGCAATAACATCTTGCTTCACGCCTTTCATTCTGCAGTGAAATGCAACTTCATTTAAATCATTCGTGAGTAAGTCTATGTAAGTCTTCTTTCCACAAAATATTGACTTGTATGCTAAACTTTGTTTATCTTTTGTGATTTCTGCAAAGTCGCTATGAAATTGACCAAGGTTTTTACCAATGAGAACTCTTCCATAACGTTTCTCAAACTCTTCAGCTAAACGAGGGATATCTTCATTGTAGAGATGCATACTGTCCGTATCGCTATAAAAGATGTCCATTCCTAAGTCCTCAGCAGTACAGAATACTTCACACATTATTCTCTTCGACATAGACAGAATGTTAACACCTAAGGGGCAAAAGTTAAAGTGTCTGCAAATGCTTTTCGTTAGCTTGAAAATAGTTTTATCTGAACCATCCAAACCTTCGAACTTCACTATATGGTTGTAGTTTCTGATGGCATATCTTATAGCATCTTTGTCATTTACTATGGTTATTTTTGACTCAATAGGAGATAGAATAGTTTTGCCATAAATACTGTTCAGAATGAGCTTTATATTTTCTTGCAAAGGATTTCCTTCTTTCTTATACTTTAACCTTAACTCAAACAACTTCTTTACTTCATCTCTTATTCTAATATCTCTGTTTCCATCGTAATAGTATCCTTGCAACACTTCACATTTGACACCTTGATATTTTATGAGGTCTTGTAATGTTATATGGTCAACATACATTAAACAGCAAGTGTTTGAACTTCTGGGAACGTTAAGTTCTGGATTTAGTTCAGGGTCACAAACTATTAAAGGAAAGTGTCTATGTATTCCAATCTCTGTTATCTTAATGAGAACAAAGAAGCCAGACATAAACTTTTCACCAATGGGTTCCTTTTGGTCGTCATCGAATAAATGTCTCATGAGATACTCTGTGCTTAACATTTCTTTCTTCATAACCTTTGGAATACCTTCTAAAGTATAAAGTCTTGCTATAGCGGATGGATATAATGAAACAGCGTCGAAGTCAGCAATGAGTTTCTTTTCGCTCTTTTGTTTCATGTTATCTGACAGCATACATCTTCCACCTTGAATACAGCGTGAAATAAATTCTCTTGGTTTATTTGAGAGGTCATATAAATTTCCATTCGGGAAGTACACTCTGTTCTCAAACAATTTGTTAGCAATAGAACAAATACTAACGTAGTCATAACGTTTAAATCAAATTCTTTCAATATGTCATTGCGGAACTTAACAAAACCTTCTCTTAAAATTCTTACATCTTGTTTGCAATAAATGTGCTATATTTTTCTAAGTCGAAGTGGTTCTCATCTATTCTGCAACCTTTGATGGAATCTATGTTTTTCATGAATGTATCGCATCCCGGATAAACTTACATGCTTCAGAAATGACACCAGTTCTGTTGTCATTTGCTAACAAAACACTGCTGTAGTAGTTGTATGGAAATACTTCTTTCGGTCCTGTTTGTAAGTTAAACATAGCAGGAAATAGTTTAAGCTTCTTATTTATAACACTGTAAGAGTCTTTTATAATAATTGCCCTTCCTTTATATAAGCCAGTTATTTGCATTGTTCGTGAACCTTTAATGATGGGAGTTCCTTTCACTTCTGTCATGTGTCTTAAGATAAAGTTTATATCATAACTGAGGTTATGGAAATATATTAAACTCTTGTCAGGAAGTCGCTCCAAAAATTCTGTTGCACAGTTCTGACCCCAAATGCTTTCACTCACTGAACCATCTTCACTGTCATAACAGATGTTAAAAGCTTTATGAAAGCCGTCTGTGCTACACTCAAAGTCAGCAAAGAAAACGTGCTCAGGAATGAACTTGCACTTATTTTTATTTACTTCTTTTGACTCGGCTTTCTTCTTCAGTTGTACACAATACTTTGGAGCATATGTCAAATCTTTAAATGGTGCAAGGTTCTGTTTATATAAGTCAGTCGTATATGTGAAAAGTTCTCCATAAGAAATAGGTTCGAAATATTTGCACCCCCACAATGTTTTCATAACATCCCATAACGGTGTTGTTCTATCATAACGAACTACATATTTGTTCTCTCTCTTTGTATAAATCTTCATCTGTTTCTCAATGTTCATTCCACCACACTCCTTCAAGATTTCTATATAGTTGCGAATGAAATATGTTGTCATTGGTAATCTTTCGTTTAGCATGTAGTGGTCTTCAACAAGAAGTAAGTCAATAGTTCGAACAGTTTTACATTCTTTTGGTATGTATCTCTTTATTTCATTATGTCTTGAGTCATTGAAGTAACCAATGGTAACATTAAATGCTATACCTGTTGCGTCAGAAATTTCTTGTACTTTACTTTGAGGAAAGTCTCTAACACGAATGACTTCTCTCATGTGGTCAATAGTTTCTTCATTTACTCCAGCCTGAATGCAAGCATAAACGAAGCAGTTATCTTCTGTCATAAGTGTTGCAGTTCTTTTGTTCAGTTCATTGAAGATTTGGTAGCGTTCAAGATTTATAGGTAATGTGCAAAGATACTTCCAGAACTGCCCGCTTCTCTTCTTATAAAACTTCTTTTCACCATTATCTTTCCAAAAGCTTTCTATAAGTGCTGGGTTTCCTGTTTGCTTAAGAGCTTCCAAAATGGCTTTCTGGTCATTTGTCAGTGTGCTTTCATCTCTATATGGTCTCTTTTTTGGTTTGCCTTTCTTTACATCTGACATCGTTAAGCCTTCATATTCTGTTAAATCATACATCTTTATTTCAGTAAGATTCTTTATGTTTGTCAAGAAGAAGTCATAGTGCATTTCAACAATACCTGCAGCATTTGCTTCTATCTCTGATATAAAGTTCTCCTTCAAGAGCTGATGTAGTAATGTTCCAATATTATTGAGGTTTAACGTAGAACATTCATACTTTCCACCAAGTTTATAACATACCATCCATCTTTGTTGGGAGTTTATTTTAATCTTCTCTAAGAGTCTCATGAAAACCTTACCGAAATGTTTGTGTAAGTAGTCTCTGTTTGGTTCATTTAAAGCTTCGATGTTAAAGTCAATGAGTCTATTGCCTGACTTCACATTTCTCTTCCTATTCTCTTCATCTTTCTTTAACCATCTCTCACCTTCTTTTGGTTTGTCGTCAATGGAACGAAGGACATCGTTAGCTTTGCGAACTTGTTCTATAGCACTTTTAAACATCTCTCTTCTCTGTTGTTTCAGTGTGTCGTCTCTCTTTCGTGTTTTACCAACGTTCGCATTTGTTATGTCATACATTTCTCTTCTTACTTCATGAGGTACAGCTCTTCTTGTTTCACCAACGTTTGAGTTCGTAAGTTCAAACATCTCTTGACGAACGTCATGAGAAAGAGCTTTACGAGTATGACCAACGTTCGCATTTGTTATGTCATACATTTCTCTTCTTACTTCATGAGGTACTGAACGTCTATGATATAAGTCAATAGCAACGTCATTTAAAGGAAATGCTCTTGCATGGACTTCGTCCTCGCCGCGTTGCGGCTTTATGAACTCATGAATTCTATCATAAGTTATTTCACCATTGTAGTCTTTAATGAAGTCAGCGAGTGCTTTTTTGTTTGTTGCGTAATGCTTTGCAACATCTATATTAGCTTCTGTAAGAAGTTGTTTTATTTCCGAGTGTTCTAACTTAGACAACTTCCGATACATCTTTAGTAGGAAATAAAAAATATTTTTTTGAAAAAATTAGATTAGATTTTTTAAGTTATTTTTCAAAATAATTTAATATTTTTATTTTAATGAAACACATGCAAGATTGCAAGTTCTTTTCATTCAATGCTCTCGCTACTGCCATCAAGAATGAGTTCAATAATGCTTCAAATGTTAATGTTATCTTTAACAAGAAGTTTGTGAAAGAATCTAAGTTTGGTCAGTATGTCAGACCATTAGCTATCGTCATTAACCGCAAACGTTATACTTCACAAGAGTTAGCAGTAGTTTTGAAACAAAAGAGTTTCTTCGTGAATGTCAAAGATACTCATTATACTGTCATAAAGAACTCTAACATTGACTTCTTCAGTATTGCTTTAAATCTTTCCGAACAGAAAGAATATAAGAAGGGTGAAACAAATGTGAAATATTATCCTTCATCTCTGAAGACAATAACGAACAAAGATGTTATACAGAAATTCTTACCAAAGGTTGAAGAAGCTTCTATTGACATTGACGAAGGAAGTGAAATGGTTGAAGAAATAGACCCTGAAGCTATTTAAGCAAAAATATATTTTTGGTTAGTCTTCATATGGATATTTTACAACAATTCCCCAATGTATAAACTTTTCATACGCTTTTTATAAGCTTTGTATACCTTCAGAATTTTGCATAATCTTTTACATGTTGTTCGTTCTCTTCTTCTGTCATGAGTTCCGAATATTCTAAATTCATGTTCTTTCATATGAGATAAAATTAGCTTAGATTTTTTTATTCTTCCTCTTTGAAGTTATCGAAATATTCTGTTATTTTTTCCTTCAGTAATGTTAAGTCTTCTTTGAATGTAAGTATTGTGCAACCATTGATGTCATAGTGTGTTTGAGGAAGAGTATTTTTGACAATTTCCTTTATTTGCTCATTCGGTGTCATTGAAATCGGTAAGTTTTCACGATAGAACCAGTTTCTGTCAGATTTATATATCTTAGCTAAGTCATAAAAGCTCTTGTTGTTTCTTCTGACTAAATGCAACATAACCATGTCACTGTCTTCTTCTTTCTCCAACTCTTCAGTATATATCATATACTTATAGTTCTTTTCCTTTCCTTTTGGTACTGAACGCGGTATTCTTTTCTGTATGCTTTTGTCTTTGGATTCAAGGACTTCATCTTTTGCATGAAGTTTCTTTTCCATCTCTCCACGTTCTGCTTTATATAGTTCATCTAACATCATGAAAATATAACAAGCATAACGAGGTGAAGCCCACATTGCTACAGCGTTTACTAAAAGTCTATGAACATAATAACCTTTCAAACCAGGAGCCAAATTCTTGCGATTTTCATACGGAATCTCTCTCGGTTTTCCGAGGGAAGCAATCATATGAGGAAATTCTTCTAAAAGTTCTTTTGTCTGTTGGTTTTCAAACCAATGATATGCTTGCTTTGTAGAACGAAGAGCATTCATTATACTTTGCATTTGGTACATGTCATCTTTGACCGAACGAATGAGGCGAAGTTGTTTGTTATATGTATGTATTCGTATTCTTCATTTATGGCTTCATGAACGATAGCAGTTGTTGTGTTCTCTAATGTTGACATTTCTGTTCTTACATACAAAATAAAAAAATAAATAAAAATAAAACTAACTTTATTTTTCTGTGTTAAAGAAATGTTAAAAATTCATGGTTACATATGTGAAAAGAAGTCACGAACAAATAAAGGTCATAAGATTCAGCACATAATTCTGAATTGAATGGTGTGTCATACATGTCAAACCGTCAAGAATTGAAGGAGATACGAGGCTATAAAGATTTTGGATATTTTCTGACACACACCCTGAGGGAAAAGTGACAAAACACGACGATAGAAAAAGCGACAAAATGAGAGAAAGTTGTTCCCCGACCAAAATGCAATCATGTTGAAAAGTGACATTTGTAAAGTTGGACGATGGGATTTCCTGAAAAAGTGCAAGACTTGTCTTGAATCAGGACAAGATTTGTCTTGAAAAAATACAAGACTTGTTCTGAAAAAATACAAGACTTGTCTTGAATCAGGACAATTGTTCTCAAATTTGAGAACTTTACAAGAAAAACTGACTAAAAAGTGCAAGTCTTGTTCTGAATCAGGACAAGATTTGTCTTGAAAAAATACAAGACTTGTTCTGAAAAAATACAAGACTTGTCTTGAATCAGGACAAAACTTTACAAAATGTAAACTTTACATAACCGTTTCTATCGTACATGATATTTAGTTGACATTGTAAACTATCTTCATGTAAAGTATGGCGGTTTGAAACCATCGGGAACCTTCACTTTTTTGACGAACTTTCCGCAGCAATTTTTAAAATTTGTGAAAACTCAACGGTTTGACACATGCCATATGTCATTTTACTCAGAATTTTCTGCTGAATTCAGCAAAAATAATTTTTAGGGTAGATGGGTATATCTAACCTAATTTCTACCACGAATTCTACCCTCATTATTTATAACCGTTTTACATGGTAAACGTTATTTTTGGAATTTTGTGAAAACTCAACGGTTTGACACATGCCATATGCCATTTTACTCAGAATCTCACGAATTCAGCAAAAATAATGAGTTCATTTACTCACAATATTTTTGTACAAAACGACCCCAAACTTTTAACTTCTTTTCTGCAGCTTCTAATGCTATCTTAGCGAGTTCATATTCTCTAAATTCTCTCTTTAAATCTTCTTGTTCCCATTGGTCTAGTTCGTATGGAGAATCTCTATAACCATAATATATCTCACGTTCATGTTCTAATTGTTTTTCATGCATTTTTCTAACTTCTTCTTCAAACAAATGTTTTGCATTCTCTACTGTATCTTCGAGTTCTTCTTCATCTAACTTCTCATGAACTTTCTTGTCTATGGAGTCCATAATATCTTTGACATAAAATGCATACTTTACAGAGCACCATTCAGCAACAAAATGAACGAGGTCAGGATGTATGTAAATACCTTTGAATTCATTCATGACACCCTTTGTAAGCTCATAAAATGCTTGTTTTGAGGTCGAGCCACTTTTGGCTCGACCGTATTCGTTCATCCAAAACTCAAGAATTTCCTGCATTTTAGTACTATTGAGAAATCTGTTTAAATGGTTTAACCTTCCCGCTTCTCTTGCCATCTTTGTTGCATTAATGTAACCATCCTTGTCTCTACGTAAGACTTCAATACCATTATAAGTGCCTTTTGTGAATGTTTCGCCATTATATTTGTTAGTGAATGTTTTTGCTTCGACTGACATTTCTGTTCTTACATACAAAATAAAAAAATAAATAAAAAATAAAACTAACTTTATTTTTTCTATCTTAAGGAAATTCATGAAAATTCATGAGGGTAGAAATGAGGTTAGATATACCCATCTACCCTAAAAATTATTTTTGTTCATGGGCTATGCCCCGCCGCTTTGCGTCTTTATGTTAAAATAAATGGTACCATTAATGATATCATGACTGTTCTCGTTCATGTCTGATTTACATCTAATGAAAAAGTTTAGAAGAATTTTCTTATTCTTTCTGGCATATTTTGTCTGATTTACATCTAATGAAAAAGTTTAGAAGAATTTTCTTATTCTTTCTGGCATATTTTTGTTTGATTTACATCTAATGAAAAAGTTTAGAAGAATTTTCTTATTCTTTCTGGCATATTTTTATCCTTCCAGTACTCCCACTCTAATGGTCCCAGATGTGTTGGCTTCGACTCTCTCAAGTTCTTAGATGGTATAACATCTTCAACGCCTCCTTCATATCTTACTTTATAAGTGTCATCGTTTATGTTGTAGCCAAGTATTTCAATAACCACTCCTCGCTTTGCTTCGTCAATGGTTTCAGCAAGTTTGCCATTACTACTTTCAACTAATTTATGTCGAGGATAAAATGCAATGGAGTCGTCGGCAGCTTTTATAAGATATCCATTACCTTGCGTAGAGTCTACGATATAATAATTTCGACTTAACCTTAAACGTTTCTTTGTCAACGGTTTGTCGTCAAGAACTACACGAACTTTTGTACCAGGAATGAGGGTAAATTGTGTTGAATTTCTGATATTTTGTGTTTGACTTCGTTTCTTTTGTATATACTTTTCTTCTTGTTGTTGTTGTGTCATTGAATTTGGTGTATGTCCTGTTGTAGAATGTGTTGAGGAATTATATACTTCGAGAAAATGTTTCATTGTTTCTTCGGTAAAGTCTCGCTCTTGATTTAAATCTCTGAGAGTCCTTATGAAGCGGTTTATGATGCCGAGTATGTTATGGTTATGGTCTTCAGTAGTGTAGTGAGTTATGTTATGCTTAATGAGAAAATCTGTGATTTCATTGCTGAGGTATGCACTGTCTTGGTCTGATGTTAAAGTACTTGGGCTATGTTCTGCTACAAACTTTTGTAAAACTCTTAACACTTCACGAGTTCCTTTATTTTTCATTGGATATGCATATGCTTTGCGAGTGTTAACATTAATGAAGATGAGGAATGGTTTATATCCTCCTTTTCTGCTTTGAATGAGAGTGTCAAATTGGTATGCGTCAGGAGTGTTGGAGTAAATTGGTAAAAAGTAGTCGTAAGGGTTTATTTTTGTTTGATGTACAACATTTTTGTCAAAGAACCTTTTCACTTCAGCTCTGTTAGTAAATCCCCAACTTTTTGCTGCTTCATTGAACTTCTTAAATGACCTCCATGGATGTTGTTCGAATACTTCTTTCAAGCTCATTTATGTAAAGTTAAAGATTTTATTCAAGACGGTAAGCCTTGACCCAAAGGGTCTAGGCTCAAGCGCGTTCATTGAACGCGGTACCATGCATAAACCGTCACAAATGGTGGCATAAAATCTTCACCCGAGCCTGTTGGATTTGTTGTGAAAGTGTGTGAATGATTTCCTCCTGGTTCAGTTGGTCGAAAAATCTTTTTTGCTGAATTGTTATAAGATGGAGATAAAACATCATGACCGGCTTCATACTCTGAGTTGTATAATGGGTGGTCTCTTAATGAGTGGCTATGGTCGCCAGAAAAGTTTGTCGTTCCTGTATGAGTGTGCGGGGGTAAGTTTGCTTCTTTAATTTTCTTCGAACCTCCTGTTTGCTTTAAATATCTAGCACAGTATAAGAATTTATCTACAATCTGCTTCCATGTACCAAAACCTAAAACACTTGCTGGATTTGTTGAGTTCATTGACGTATAAATAGAGCCTATAGGATATAATGTTTGAAGTATTTCTGTCTTTAATGTTTGAAGCTCTGTTTTGTCTGCTTTCTTATCATATAAATCTTGAGCAGTGAATTTAACATTATTTTCATCATCCATGACATAAACATTTTTACAGCTAATTTCTTTCTTCGTTGTTATGTTTTCATTCGATGTTAAACCTTGTGGAAAGTTAGGAGGTTTATAATATAATGCAGCCGCGTGCGGCGGGGCTCCGCCCTCCCCACCAGTTCCGCCAACCGTTCCTTCAATACTTTCTATAACAACAGTTGAGAAGGAGTTATGTGTATGTTCTTTGTCTGCTTTCTTATCTAACATTGCTGGTAGTTCATATGTTTCAAAGTTTCTGACATGACCTTCAATGTTCATACATTTACTATTTAAGGAGTTTAGTGTATCTTTTACGCTTGTACTTGGATTCTCTAAAGGTGCACTTGAACCAAGGGTATAGTTCAATATTATGTCGTCTGCTCTAACAGTAGTGAAGGATTCATGTGTATGGTTCTTGTCAGCTTTACTATTTAATGTAGCTTGAAGTTCATTTATATCGGAGATATTGTGTTTATGAGATTTCAAAACTTTGTTCGTTGCGTCAAGTTCATCTTTGTCAGCTTTACTTTTAATAGCATCTTCAAAAGTTATTTTTGCCTTAACTCTCAAAGTAAATCTTGGTTCAACTAATACACCTTTAACAGAGAAAGTAGAGGCATATATTTCATCGTTATAACCAAATGCTTCTGGTGCTTTACCCGTGTCATACTGTACAGTACAGCTTATGTCATAACCTTTAGCACGAATGTATTTATATCTTCTTTCATTAACATCTTCAGTGCTTATTTGTTCATCCTGTGTTAAATATCCATGGTAGTCCGTTATAATCTGTTCGTCTGAACTTATATAATGAACATGGTTTTTATCTGCTTTTTCGGCTAATTTCTCTTCTATCTCATTTATTTCAAGATCATGCCTACCACCACCTCCTTCAGAAGTATTTTTCTTCAGCTCTTGAAGAACATCCACTTCGCCATCTTTAGTGTCAATAATGAGACTTTGAGTTAAAACCTTTCCTGTCTTAATGGATGTTTGTAAAACTTCTTCTTCACCGTGTTCGGGGTCATGGTCGTCATCATATCTTGTGAAATCAGAGATGTTGTCATACATTAAGCATATCTGTCTCAAAAGTTCTGCTATTTGAAACTGGAACGAAAGATATACGGAACTTTCATCATCTCCTAAAGTCAAGTCTGCTTTCTTAAGTATTTCTTGAATGTATGCAATGAGAACAGAGTACCTTGGAAAATATTCGAACAATATTTCATTAGCTGTTGGTTTTGGTGGTTCTTCTGGAGTTTCTGTTGTTTCAGTTCCTTCTGTAGGTTCTGTTGGAGTTTCTGCATCTCTTGACTTCAATGCTCTTGCTCTCAAAGACCTAAATGTTAGAGCACCAGGTTTTACAAAGGACTTTATAAATGCTTTAATAGTTCCTGGTAAGTTATTGTTAGCATTAAGTAAGTTCCTTATGCTTCCATCATGTACGTCCATAGCACTATGTAAAAAATCTATACTTTTCTTGTAGTCAGCAATAGACTGACTGTGATTTTTTAAAGATTTGTCAATACCTTTAAGCCAATCTTCATGCATGTCTGATACTGAGCCAAGAATATCATTTGCTTCCTTTAGTGTTTTTGTGCTTCTCGTAAAGTATCCAATCCCGTACGTGCATTGTTTGCTATACGTCTTACAGTATCTATTTGACTCCTTGTTTCTTGCATCCAACCAGATAAAGTTTTAATAGTATCCGAACCATTTGAAATGAAGTTCAAAGCATTTTTAGCGTCATCTAAAACTTCTTCACCAAGTACTGCCCATATCTTTCCGATTTGGTATTGAAGAACTCCATATGAAGCAGCTGTTAAACCAGTATTTATAAGGTTCCATATCCATGATTTAGCAGTTTTTTCCATCCTTTCCATCTTCACCATCCAAACCGTTTTCGCCTTGAGGTCCTTGTATTCCTTGTATTCCTTGTGGTCCTTGAGGTCCGGTGTCACCCTTCTCTCCTTTCAGTTCATCTTTATGTTCGTTATAATATTCTAATGTCATAAGGTGTACATCATTACTGTTACAGCAACGCCGAGAATTTGTTTCTCATTCATGACTAAATTCTTTAGGCATTTAATGTTGTCGTCAAATCGAAAGCTCTTTAACAATTCAATGAGAAAATTTAATACTTTCACTAATGAGGCATCTACTGTAGAATTTATATATTGCAAACCGTTCCATCATTTATGATGGGAACCTTGCTTGTTGTAAATGAATGGGTCATAAGTGTTAAAAGTATCGAAATCAATGACTTTTTTAGTTTTTCCATCGTCAATGACTAAATTGTTACCTTCCACTGTTAAAGTTGAGTTTTCGTTTACTAGTTCATGTGCTCTTCTTGCTTCATTTGTTTCATACGTATATGCAGCAATAGTCATATTTTAATGAGAATAAAATGTTGTTCTATTTGCAAAGTACAGACCCAAACGAATACGGGACAGTAAAGCTACAAACAAACTTAGGTCTTCAGAATGAAGCGCTTGCTTTCAGAGTTGTTGACTTCAATACTATCGCAACTTTTGTCATAACAGATGAAACAGATTTCATAGAGATTGAAATAGATGACAAAAAGAAGCGTTATAACATTTCCTAATAGAGCTGGGTATAGAATAGATAAAATTGCTGGAGTCATAGATACTCTCATAAATGAAGAAACTATTGACAACATAGATGTCGAACTCTCTTCTGAGGGAACATTGAAGTTCAGCAGCGAGAAAGAGTTTAAGATACCAAGAATGAGTCATAGAGTACAACTTCTTTTGGGTGCATACCATATGACATTTCCTTTGAAAAGTGTTGACAAAACGATTGAGATGAAATCTGTTCCATACGTATGTTATGGTAATTGTTTATACATTGAGTCTAAAATAGCTAATGTCACAGGCATTTCAGGAGTTAATAGTAAAGGTTCAGTAGAATATAAATCCTTCTGTTATGCAGTCAATTCAATGTTCATTCCAAACGTTCCTGTCATAGCAACTTATTTAGGTAAATGGGTTCGCATTAGTCCTCATAATTTGAAAGACATGCAATTCAGACTTGTTGACTTTCAAGGAGAGCCTGTAGAACTGAAGACACCAGTGCGAATGACTGTTGAAGTTGACTTTTTAGAAAATATTAAATGCAACGGCTTACAAGAGAACTCAGAGCTAAAAATATAAAGTATGAATGTTATATTTTAGGTCATGAACTTTGGTTGTTGCTGTTTGATGAAACAAATGAGTTAGTTATGTCAGTCAAGAGAACAGAAAAATATTGTGTTAGTGAAAACTGCACCAAGTCAATAAGATTAGGTTTGCATTATGAAGATGAGTTCGATACTGTTGAAGAAGTTTTGGACAGATACTATAAGTTGTTAACTTGAAATTTTTTTGACTAACTGACTGCTTTAATTTACTAAAACATATTTCAAACAAAGCTTATAGTCAGTAGATAGTTTTGTATACTCGTTCGAATATTTATACTTAAACTCAACTCCTGTAGTTCCTGGTGTTTCAATGATGCGGATGTTACCTATTTTCATAAATACCGGCATCTGACCACAGCATTCGATTTCAGGGTCGAGATAGTCAATGACACATTGTTTCCCTGTTATTCGTGAGATAACATTTTCAAGGTCCTCCTTTGTTAGAATTATTTGGTTCTTACTTATAAGATTTGTCAAAAGCTTCTTATCGTCTTTGAGTAAAATTGTTTGGTATAACTGAAGAAGGTAATGGTCTACGTTATCTGAAGGATTTGTTTGAACATTTGTGTAAGGGTTGTCGTTGGCTTCTCTTGAAAGAACTTGGTCCAGTGGTGGATACTCTAACTTAACATCTGATGTAGCGTTAGCGTTTGAAGCTGCGTTTAAATTCACCGACTTAAGATCTGGTTCTTTTTCTTTCAAACACTCTGAACTATAGTTTCTTATGACAATATTGTTTGTCGTTCGTGAGTCAACATTTGATGTTGGTTCAATTGGAACATTAACGGCACCAGCTAAGATGGATTTGCTTCTCATTTCATATAGAATAAAAACCTTTTATATGTATGAAATGAACAATATACTCGACAAGGGTTTGAATGTAAAGCTAACGAATGAAAATATTGTTGAATTCACTGAGACAGGAGCTGTGTATAAAGATGTAGAACTACTGAACAAAAGAGCAAAGGGAAGAAGCAGGAATATGAACAAAGGGTGGAAGCCTATAAAAATTTATGTCAATGATGGCTCAGGAGGTTCAAACATAAAGTATGCAGAAAGTTATAGAGTTTATGCTCTCAAAGGTGAAAAGCCTTCATTTAAGAACAGCTATTCTAACGCATATCCTCAAAAGCTAACGGATGGGGAAGTGGATGATATGAATGACAGCAAAAAATATTAACAGAAATGGCGACAGAGATGCATGGAATTTATTTACCATCAGTCAATTGAAGGTTAAACTTTAAAACAATGTTGGTCGTTCCCATGGAATATTTTTGACTTTAATGGTATTAGTCATGATATGAATCTCAAGGTATGAACGAGGAGAGATGAGAGACTTATATGCTTCCCAAATTTCTTCAAAAGGTAATGTTATACCTGACTGTTTCCAAATGAGTTCAATATCATAACGTGAGAAACCTTGAAAGATAACGAAGTCAGTTATGAGACGTTTTATGTTTAAAGCTAAAAACCTCCATGTTTGCATAAGTATTGCTACAGTTAAATGGTAATGTCTGACTTTAGTTATGATGTTAGCTAATGGTGAGTCTGGTTTTGACACTAAACTTTTTCCGGCGAAGTCGTCACAAACGAGCAGAGTGTTTGATGGATACTTTTTGAAGGGGTATTTTGAAAGTTTTGATAGAATGTAGTTTGTCAGTCATTTCATATCGTAAACTCCTGAGTATTGACGTAAGTGGTGTTTGTCAATAATTCTTTCCATCTCCTCAGAAGTCTTTTGCATTCCTGACTGTATAAATTCAACGATGGCATAATATTTCCTCTTACGTCGAATGTAACGTTGAAGAAATTCAATGAGTTCACTGTCTGGAACTTTAACGACAGAGGCTTGAACTTTTGACATAAATGTTTTCGCTGTTGAGTCCATAGAGTCTGAAGTTGCTGATATAATGATTTGGTCATAGTAAGAGTCGTTTCCTAAACGTTCTGTTATGAGTATATGACGAATGAGGTTGAATGTCTTTCCTGACCCCATCTTTCCACAATAGAAATAAACACCATTTGAACAGAACTCATAGTCCTTACTGAAAGGAAGAATGAGAGAAGAGTTAAGTTTGTCTGTAGTTTCATTCATGTCTTCATCTACATCATGTATTAAATGCTTCATTTTATCTCCATTAAAAATGCAAGTCAGAAATATTCAGAACATAGCACCGAGTCTAACTGACAAGAGTATAAAGATATACTATGAACACGTTATGATGAAACCAACCAAAATTCAAGAAAGTCAGTATACTTATGAATATCCAAGACACTGGGTAGAGTATGTAGGAGGTGAGAAAGCTATTGAAATCAGACAGGTTCGAAGTATTCCAGCAGGAAGAACAATATTATTGAAGAACTTTAATGTTTTGAGATATAATGATGAAACAAAGAAGCAAGATAGTTTTCCTGTTGCTGTGTATGTGAACCTAGACACAGGAGATGACATGAAAGTTTTTAACACAAAGCTTCAAACGGTAGTGAGAGAACAACTTACTGCGGAAGGACATCCATTACCTTCAGAAGTTACCATAGCATATAATTTTGAAACAAACTCAATAGATTTTAAAGTCGTCTCTGCAAAGAAGTCAGGATTTACATTTAATGAAGCAGATGTCTATTCGAATGAAAACTTCAAAGCTATTGCATGGTTAGATAATGACGATTGCTTTAAGAAAATCTTTAAATTCAGTGACTCAAAGATGTCAATAGATGACCTTCGTGGAATGTTACCATCGACGTTTACAGTTGAAGGTTCAGCAGGATTGCTTACAAGTTTTTCAATTGGTGGCATTTGGTCTCGTGAGAACATTGTTATAAAATCCAGTATAAGTGAATTTGCTGAAAATTATATTATGTCTTTCAAACTATATGTATTCGCCGCCGAAGCATTATAGTATAACAAACTTTGTCAGTAAGTTTAATATAAGACTTGTCGAACCTTCTTCAATGAAAGATGTTGTGCTACCCAAAGACGGAAAGGATGGACTCATTATTGAGATGATTTTAATTGCATATTAAATGAGCTTGTTCTTGAAGGTCATTCATGATGAAATAACTGTTGTAGAAGATGTTAGCAATTGTTCAGACATTTTGAAGCGTATAGATGATATAAGAAAGAAGTTAGATAGACCGCAAAGCGGTGAGGGCGAAGCCTGTGAGAATGTTTATGTTTCATTGACTTTCTCCAGTAACGAGAACTTTTATGAGATAATATTGAAGAGAGATGATTTTAATATGGTGTAAATGGTAGTTTGGGCAGCTTTAGGCGCAATGGGAACAAAAGCATTAGCATTTGGAGCAAAAGCACTTGGAGCTTATGACGCAGTAAATAAAATGAGTGGAGGAAGGGTTTCAAAGACATTAGATGCAAATAAAGGGAAGATTGGAGGCTGGGTTGCAAAGAAGTTAAGATTAAATAAAATAGGGCTCATAAATAAAGCATCCAATTTGGTTGCGACTGAGTCAGAAAATGCTTTAGGAAAGGACGATGAGTTTGCAAAACACGCAAAAGACTTTAATGACCAGATGAAAGGTGAAACAATGCATTTAAATAGAGTCGATGGAACTAAAGAAAATGTTTCTTCTCCACTAGTAGTTCTTCCGTATGGTCCCTATGGAATGTATGGAAACCCTTATGAACGACCATTTGACCCATTGACTGGTGGAAGTAACTGGTATCATTACGGCCGAAGAAGAAAGACAGTCAAGTTGGAGACAGACGTGAAGAAAGCAACTAAAAAGAAACCAAGGAAGAGAGTTATAAAGCAATGAATTCAACAGGGTGAAAAACCGGGTGAAAAAAGAGGTGAGATTTTACCACTTCACCTAAATTTATTTTTGTGCTATGTTTTCATACGTGTGAGGGTGGTGATATCATTATTTTTTAAGTTTATTTTTTATTTTATTTTGGATGTAATGACGAAAACTATTGAGATAACAAACTACAACGGTCATGAGTTCAAGAATTTGTTCTTCGTTCCTCGTGAAAATACATTCTATCAGATACGAGGGAGAAAGGGTAAAGTTAGTTTGAGCGTTTACGACAACAAACATAATGGGAGATATATAAAAGCAATAGATACAAACGGTAAGCGTGTTTCATTAGCTTTGTCAAAACTTACATACATTTATTTTGACAGTGATTTTGACTCTGACGATTGGAGTGACAGCAGCGATACTGAAGAATATGAACTATTGTGTGAAGCACAGCAATGGGAAGCGCTGCAATACTTTTGTAAATGAGAACATTAGTGGGAACGTTAGTGAGAACGTTTATTTTTTCATTAGTGAAGTCGTTAGCGAAAACGTTAGTGAGGTGAAGTGGTTGGCGGCTTTGTAAATATTTAAGGTTAAGTTAGTGTTGCCGTTTGTGTTGTAAAATATACGTTAGTGGTTTTGTAAAGTGTCAAACCGTTATCTTGGGTAAGGTGGAACGCAGTGCCGCCGTACCCTTGTTATGTATACTAACTATCTATAGTGACCTGAAGACCTCGAAGCATTGGATTTTCTAAAACTGTTCTTTGCATTGCATTCTTCGGAAATGCTAACACAACATCTGTAACATTATGAAGAGCGTATGAGAAATCTGAGCTAATACCTTCAGGAGTGATGCAACCTCCATTTAGTGAACGAACGTCAATATGTTGAGCTGGAATCATGAATGGATCTTCCTTACTGAATAAACGTGGTATTGCTTTAACTGATTCTTCAATTAAACCGTATCCTGGTGTAATGCATTTATCCTCTAAAACTTCCATCTTTGTGCATGAAATAATAACGTCATCAACTGTTGCGTCAGCAGATGTAGCGGCTAAGCTTGTAATTAATTTGGCAGGAAGTCCGATTTGTTGGAATTTGCGATCATATTTATAAACATGATTCATAATCTTTTCATAATTTTCATCAGATATCTTTTCATAAACGTAATTTTGTAAATCAGCAACTCTTAACTGGTCAACCTGACAAAATACTAAAGTATCCCTGAAAACATAATATTTAAGAATGATATCACCAAATGATTTAGGATAATCATCGAACGCCTGAAATGCTAACAAATCATTTACCGGAATAATCATATCAAAAGTGACATCAACTTCTTCATTTGCTTTCTTGAAAACTTCTGAAGGGTCAATATATTTACCACATACTGAGTTATCATATTTTTGAACATTATTATATAACGAATGAACAAACTTTTTAACTTTCCTTTCTGATTTTGGTTTATATGTTGCAAATGCGAAAGATTCACGGGCGCAATCCATCTGAAGATAACCGGCATCACCTCTTTCGGTTTCTACTTCTAATTGTTTAAAGCTTTGATTTGATGATTTGTAACCAACGAATAAACGCATGCATTTAAAAGCGGCATCACATGTGAAAGCTTTATTTGAAACTAGAGTTGCTTTAACTTTGCGTTTAATATATGTGTCACCTAATTGGTTCACATCATGAGCCGGATTTGTAATTCTTAAATGAGTTTGTTTATCATCAAAATATGGAGCATCAGAGTCATAGCATGAACTTTCAAGTTCTCTATAATATCTTCTACCGTCATTCTTTGCGAATATTTCATTTATCTTTTCGAATGAATGAAATACATTTCCATTAATCGGTTTAGTGTTTGGCACCAAATAGTTAGTCGTCATTTATTAATAAATAAAAAATCAAAATTAAAAGATGAAAATGAATTTTTAATTTTAATGAAATAATCAACTATGGCTGCGGGTATATTTAAGAAACTGTGGGATAGAGTAAAAAGAGGAGCGAGTAAAGTTTGGGAAACATTGAAGAAGGGGGCAAATTGGATATTTAAGAATAAAGAAGCAATTAGTGACGTTGCTGAATCAATAACACCAAAAGCTGCCCCAATAAGAGAAGTTTTAAATAAAGGAGAAAAAGTTTATCAAAGACTACAACCGATACTAAGATAAAAATAATTTTAAGCCGCTAAGCGGTGAGATGATCCATAGGATCTCATATTTATTTTTCCACTATCTACCTCCTATTTTATTAAGTATTCCTTCAGCTATTCCACCAACTGCGTTACCTGCTTGTGCTCCAATCGCCGGATTACCTGCTTTAGTACCTAATACTCCACCTATGATAGTTCCTGCCGTTTTCGCTACTGGTGCCAAAAAGTTTGCAACGGGTTTAAGGGTGCCCTATAGACGATAGACCACCCTCAGAAAAGCACTTTTAAGGTTATTTCTGTTAAGCTTTTATCTCGTTCAAGAGAGAGATTTTTTGAACTTTACCATATCATAATGCTTAGTTATATTATGACCAATCTCTACGATTTTGAAGATTTAAATTACGTTGAGAATTCATCGATTTTGTGATTTTTTGATTTTTTTTCGAGTTTTTTTGATTTTTTCAAAAAAATAAAAAAGAAAGAAAATAAGGAAGGCATATAGTGTTTTCATTAAAAACAATTATTACAGTAAACAATGTCGCCAATTATTGGTTTTTTGAAATAATAAATTTGAAAAATGAAATATTGAGCATATATTCTACCCAATATCAATTGACTGATTAAATACAATATATATCTTTGCTTTATTCACTTTGATTACTTTTGTATTAAAAAAACCGTAAAATTTGGCGGGATTTTAGCTCTTCCTATGGAGTATTCTATTCCAATCATGGAAGGATACACAATTGAAGAGATATTAATAACATATAAAGCTGATGACTGCCAAAAAAGGGTCTATCATCGAACTGTTTATTCAAATAAGAAACCTTTTTCGCATTTCATTAATCTAAACCAGCTTAATTCAAAACAAGATCATTCACAATCAAATGTTAAGGAAGAAACAATATTCAACGTCAAATTTAAGCCTGGAGTTCCGTATAGTGACGTTGTCAAGAATCTTCATACTTACATTTCTCTTATATCTGGTGCAGGATTTTCAAAACACATCGAATTGGCATCACTCCTAAACTTTCATTGCCCAACAGAAACTACATTACTTGCGCATCTAAAGAGCATATTGCCAGATCTTGAGAAAGTTGCAACAGCAAGTTGTGAAGCTAATATACAAGAAATTCTTAAACATGATTCAGAATACAAATTTAATGTTTCATTAGATTGCGCATGGAGTTCTAAGCGCGATGCTTTACATGCCGTCATTACGCTTATAGATATAAATACAAACAAAATATTAGATTTTAGAATAGTTTCAAGGCATCCAGAATTAATAAAATTCAAAAGTCCCAAAATTTTGGTTGAACCAAAAATTTCACCAGGATTAATGGAAAGCTATGCATTACGTGATATGTTGAAATCTGATTTATGGAAAAAAATAAAAGTTTTTTGTTCAGATGGTGATGTTAAAGATTCAACAATGATAGAGAATTCTGGTGCACAATTATCACATGTAAGAGATCCAAATCATGTGATAAAATCAGCATTTTCAAAAATTGTCACTAAATATCCTAAATTTGAAAAAATATTTAGGATCCTTTTTGCATGCCCAACATTAAAACCAGAGCAAAAGGTTCAGAGATGGATGGGATTAATTAATAGATATCCAGGAGAATCACCAGAGCATATCGAAAAAAGAGAAATTATTACAAATATTGCTCCATTGTTTCTAAGAATCAGCAAACAATATCATACAAATTTCAACGAAGCTTTCAATTCATTGAAAGCCCATTTAGTCCCAAAAAATCTTCGTTGGATTATTGGATTTCCAGCCAGAATTTTTGTTTCTGTATTTGCGTATAATGAAGACAATTGGAAGACAAAACTAAGAAGATTAATGGGTATAGATGATTCTTATTTTGATGAAGATATTTTACAAGTTATATTAAATTTCGAAAATAAATCCGATTATGACCATATCAGAAGAACTTCGGAAAACTACAGAAATCATAACAGATGCGTTCATTACATTCCAGATGAAATTGACCCAGAATTCGCTGACTTAGTTCCTCATAAACCGTCAAAAGATGGATCCAGATCCGAAAAAATTGAATACACTGACGATGAGGATCCGCCAGCGGATGAAGAACCGTCAGAATCTGAAAATCTTTCACTTCCAACAGATTATCCAAAATTCAACAAAAAATCTATATTTGGTTCCGATATCAAAGTACCACCAGATTGGAAAAGGTTTTCATTTTTCTTCAAGGCGAAGGAAATTCCAGATGATCCTCAAGAATTCCAAAATTTATTATCCAAATTTAAACAAGATCTTTATAATACGTACTCGTCTTTAATTCGTATTAATGAAGAAAACATCTCGGCTGTTGCAGTTTACGATTCTCAGCAAGCAAAAGAAATTATGAATTCAGCTTTTACTGATTTTCATAACTTTGAGAAAATTAAGATAAACGCAATCAATTATCTTAACGTCCTCAGCCACAATCCACCATCTCTTGAAATGATAGCAGATTTTCATCCTGATTTGATACAACTTCCACAGACACTCAGAAAAACTCATGATAAGCCTAAAAAACAAAAGCTTGGTATCAAGCTTGGAAAAAATCTCAGTTTTCTTGCCGTTATTGTTCAACTTATTACATTTCGACCATTAATGCACAAACTATTTGACGAATTATTCTCTAATCCCAATGAGCAACAGTTAATATACAAAGAAATATTATCGCTCACAAATCGGAACTTTTCGGAAAATGCAGATGTTACTTATCTGTATCACCTGTACTCGAAACGGCAAAAGATACATCAAGCTGATCCAATTGATGCTTTCAAACAATTACAAGAATCGCTTGCATGTGAAGCTAGGCAACTAGATCTTATTGATTATTTCAAAAAATTCTGCTGGGGATTTACAGATAAAATTGACATTCCTCTTGTTAATAATAACGAACTTCAAGTTACTCCTACTTTTTCAGATTATCTTTTTATTGATGTTGCTGGTTTTACGTTTCCATTGGATGATTACACATGGAATAACAATCCAGCTGTAAAATCCAAACTAGTAGCCATAATAACTTATCACAGTCGACAATATAATATTATTATTTTGGACGAAAACATCAATTCATGGATTCTCTTTTGTAATACCAAAATATCTTACATTCATGATGAGGAATTGGCGAATAATTTAAACAAAGGCGCATATAATACACCGAAATATTTGATTTTCGAAAAAATTTTGGTTTTTCAAAAATTAAATATTTCATTTGTAATGTATGAATAAAATGTATGTATTTGATATAATTGATACATTCGAAATTTTTATTCTGAAAAAAATAATAAACAATTTTTGGCTTTTGTGATCTGATAATCTGTAAGAATAAATACCGACAAATTTTATTAATATTCATCGTAAAAGTATTCGGCTCTTGATGTAAATAAGGAATATTTTTTTCAAAAGTTGCTTTTGAAGACTCTTTTATCAAGTAGCTGCATTTATTCATTGATAAGAAAGTATGCTGTACCAAAAATCGATAATTCACCACATTAACGGCCAATTTTGTTTTGCATTTCGACAAAAAAGCTCCTTTTATATAACATTACTGGGCGAAAATTAGAGTATCTACGATGACAAAACAAAATACATCAACTTGATTTTTTGCCGAGAAAAATGTTTTTGGAGGTACCAAAATAGGTCTCGAAAAGCATTGGTTTTATTTAAGGTTATTTTTTCTGAGGGGGAGCTATCGTCTATAGGGCGCCCTTAATAATCTTTTTATAAACCCAACCCGCAGCTTTCTTAATTCCATCCCATAATTTTTTAAAGAATCCTGTCGCCATTTCTGATTTTGTTGTAAACAGAAATTCATCAAAAGTGACACCTCAGAAAAGCTAAAATATTGAATTTTTGGAACTTTTGATAGAGCACGTTTTTAAATATTAATTAAAGTAAATGTATATTTTGTAAAGATTCTTTTTAATAAAAAAATAAAATTTTGAAGAAGAACACAAAATCTTCTGAAAAATAATATCACATAAACTCATATTATTTTCTAATATATAACTATTTTATATAAAAATCAAATTCAATGATCTTAAAAGCGAAGGATAAACCTCAAAATTCCCACTCATTATATTCGTAAATTTTGAGGTTTATCCTTCGCTTTTAAGATCATTGAATTTGATTTTTATATAAAATAGTTATATATTAGAAAATAATATGAGTTTATGTGATATTATTTTTCAGAAGATTTCATTCTATATGCCTATGAAAAGTACTCTCAAAACTAACTTTTTCCTAATTATAATTAAATCTAGAATATTGTATTATGCTTAGTATTATTTCATTTTTCTCATTCAATTTAGAATTTACAAATGTCAAAAAATTGAGAGCTGTCACTTTTGATGAATTTCTGTTTATTACAATTTAATATTAATTAACAAAATATATTTCATCACTTATATTCTAATTTTTATTTAATGATAAATGAAACCGATTTTAAAAATAAATGAAACAGAGGAGGAAGAAATAAATGAAAGTGAAAATGTTCAACAAAAAATAAACGTTGTTAAACCAATTACTGAAATAAAATTTTTTTCATCTGTTGAAGAATTTAATGACTATTATGCTAATAATAAAAAATTATTTGAAGAATTGACAACGTGTAAATTGAATAAAATGTTTAAAGTTGATGGATTCAAAATTTCAAAAATAAAAGGAGTGGTTAGTTTGAAATCTATTCCTCAATCAAGAATCACCTCATTAATGAAAATTGATGATTTAACAAAAAGAATAGAAGAGATTGAAGAAAGAATGAATCAAATAATTGATTTCATAAATTCAAATAATCATTAGTTTCTTAAAGTTCAATGTTGAACTCATCAAATTCTTCTTCATCATTACCATTACCTTTAGCGAGTTTATTTACTCTTTCAACTCTATCTTTTGATAGTCTTGCGTTTAATTTTTTCTGAAGTTTTTCGTTACCAAGTTCTAAAATTTTACATGGATGATATTTAAACCCGTTAAATTCTTTTTCCTCAGTTTTAATCATTAATCTACAAAGAACTTTAGTGAGGTGGTTTTGTTGTTTAAACCATTTATCCTTAATATTTGTTATAAATTCAATATCCGGAATTAATTCCCAAATTTTTGAATTTTCGATTAATTTACCATCAAATGCAAAAGCAATAGGTTTAATATTAAACTTACCTTTATAAAATAAACTTTGTATGTAATCATCAAAATAAACGTCTACTTGTTTAACCTGGGTGAGAATTGGTGAAAGTTTATCCATTAATTGATTCACAGTCACGAATTTAGATTCACTCATTTCTTACGAATTAAAAAAATAAATTATTCAAAAATGTAAGATATGAATTTTTAAAGTTTATTTTTTAAAAATTTTTTTATTTCATTATGGTAGTGAATCTTTTATTCATGAAAATAATTATTTCTAATTTATTTTATTCTCTCGTATATACTAGATTTAAAGAATTCGGAACTTTTACCATAATCTCCTAAATGTTTTCTTATCTTATTGGTTTTCCATTCATTATATGAAACTGTATAAACTTTATCTTTATCTTTGTATCTTTCATCACCTCCAATATATTTATATTTCAATTTTGATTTATTGGTTTCATATTCATTAACGTTTAATAATTCACAGTCTTCCTTTTTAAATAAATGTTTTATGTATTCAGGATTAACAATTCTATAATATTGCTTCCCTTTAAATCTTTGAATATAAACAGGAACACCATCCTCTAAAATTCGATAATCTATTTTATCTGGTTTTACTTGTTGGGTCATTTATGTAAGAATAAAAAAATAAATTATTTTAAAAATAACTTTAATTTTTTTAATGGTTTATAAATAAATATATTTTAATGCATCGTCTATATATAGATGTAACAAAAAAAGTCACAAAACCCATCATATCCTACTACTCAGAATCTGAGAAAAGAAATTGATGTGAAATAACAAATATTTCACATTAGGAAGGTTAATGCAAGGCGATTATCATTGTAATTGCGAAATTTGAAATCTGAAAAAAAATTATCGTTTCGGAATTTTTTTTTATTAGAAATTGTAATGTCATGGGGAGGCAATGATCAGCCAGCAGGGGCATTAGACGCTTCAGCACAAGATCAAGATGAAAGGACTGTTTTTGTTGGAAATCTTAGCTATAAATCAACAGAAGGTAGTCTTATCGCTGTATTTAGTAGTTACGGCCAACTCAGAGGAGCAAGAGTTGTCAGACAGGCTGACGGACAATCTAAAGGTGTCGCTTTCGTTGAATTCGAAACGAAAGAGGACGCAAAAAAGGCTGTAGCTGAATTAAATCGAAAACAAGTTGATGGCCGAGAAGTATTCCTCAAATTAGCTGGCGATCCGAGAACTCCTGAAGATGAGATCATGAAAATCAGAGAGCAAAAAGGATTACCTAAAAGAAGTAAAAACGAATATCGTAATGCTCGCGGAGAAAGGAATTTTAGACTGACTAGACGTGATAGTAGAGATGATTATAGGGATGATTATCGTGCTAATTATGATCGCGATAGAAGACCAAGGCGCTACGACGACCGCGATTATGATGATCGCAGAAGATACGATGATAACAGAATGTACGACGATAGGGATTACGATGACAGGAGATACGGTCCATCGCGCAGATATAGCGATAGACGCTCGCCTTCTGATTTAGAATTGGACTACTACGAACAAAGGAGGTATCTGGAGCAAAGACTGGCGGATAGGTATTTCTACGATCAACAAAGATACGCTATGGAGGTATATGCAAGAAGTTACTACGATCAGCAACAGCAATTACAACAATATTATTCTGCATTCCAACCTGAAGCTTATCCGAACCCACCAGCACAGGATCAGGATAAAAATCAGTACCAGGACGATCAATCGAAGGATAATTACGATTCAAAGGCGGAATCTTATGCATAATTAAGATAATTTTATGATTTTAGTATCAAGATGAAGGATTTATGTACATATTTTACGGGAATGTTGTGGAGATGGCTTCCGAAATATATTATTTTATAATAAAGTTAAAATAGAAACAAATTTTTTAATTTTAATAGAAAATCCTGCATATTATGCAGGATCATGTTAATATTAATGACAGATCATGTAAATGTTTATAAAAAAATAATACAAAAATAAAAATTCAAATTTTTTTTTTTCAATCATCTAAACTTCTATTATTAGATTGACCATAGTACTTAACAAGGCCTAAAGTGACCAATGAAAGCATCGGAAATACAAAGAAAGTTGATTCTCTTATGGCCAAAAACTCATCATATGAATTAGCCAATGCATTGACTGTTAGATACAATCCTTGTACATATCCAATGGTCTTGAAGTAGTAAAACAGGCTGCGTTTCGATTTTAATTTGACAACTTCTGGCATTCTATCAACATGGTATAAAAGAAGTAATTCTGGAATGAATAGGAGTGTTCTGAAGTGTTTGCAGTTAACATTTGCTATAACAAAGATAAGAATATTAAAACTTGGAATTTTTAAGGGAAGTTTAACATAATTGACCCAAAAGTAGCCCATTGAATATCCAAAGTTAGAGTACCAGTCATTGAAGCCCATTACATTGCGTAGTTTCTGAATTGGAGCATTATCTAATTCTTCCTTCTTCTTGGAGGAATCATTGTATACAGCTGAGCTTGCGATTGATAGTTGAGTAATTTTCCACATAACAAACTTCTTCATGACAATAATAATTGCTAATAACACGTAAACGGGACCACGATAGTATTTGTAGGTAAATGATGATATGGTTCTGGCTATATTTGCAATAAAATCGAATATAAAGTAGATTCCAAGAAGGCCATACCAAATATTGTTCATTTTCTTTTCTACGGGCTTGTTCATTATCAAAGTAAAGTTTTCGTATGATATAAAGTATCCATTCCAGAATCCGAATGGAGAGAAGATGTATGCCAGGTAATATTCGATGGATGGCAATTTCAACGATTTCTCCATTGTAACACTGGATTGAATGATGTCGACTGAGAGTGAGAAACCTCTGATGAATATAGTTTGCAGTATTGCGGCTTCTGGTTCGCAAGATGTATTCGTGAAATTGTAAATGAAGAAAACAATCATGAATAGTACGAAAATGACATCTAATCTATGAATCCCATTGAAAAGAAGTCCAGATAATCCAAATGAGAGCGCAACGTATATTAAGGCACCGAAATGAGCGAAATATATCACTGTAAGCAATCCAAGAACAATATTTCCATATGCAATGTCTTTAGGCTTCAAGTTAAGTCGCGATGCGAGTATGTATATGGGATATTCTAGAATGGCCCCGATGTTTTCGTATGTAAACATTATTATATAAAAAAAATCGAAAAGTGACAAAATTTAGGTTTGTCAGGATGTCAAAAATTTTATCCATAAAATCAAAGCTCCATTTGCGATTATCCTTCTAATTCAACGGCGTTTATTCGGAGAATTAAACGTTTGTCTATATCAGAAAGCGTCATTCCTCAAACATTAATTCAATTCGAAGCAAAAAAGAAAAATTCAATGATCGCAACAATAATTAACTATTTCCAAGCTAAAAATTCGTTACTTTGTGATTCGCTCTATCACAAAATTGATTAGCAATTATTAATGAAGACCCATATTGTCAATGCCAATTTATCGCAAGGAATAACGCAAAAGTAAATGATAACGATTGTTTTAAAATTATTTCTGACGTCATTGTAAGATAACCCACATGATCATATCTGATCATTTCTTCGAATTTGAATTGTATGATTCAGATATTTAGATTTACATACATACAAAGATTTAAATGAATAAGTCAATAACTAAATAAATACATTTTGTGCTTAATAATTTTTATTATCTTGTAAAGGATTCATATGAAGAAATTGCAATGGAAAAAACTGTAATAGTATTAGTAGGATATATGTGAGTTGCCAATTATTTGTGATAATTTGAATATCTAAGGAATCGATAAAATAAAATTATTTCAAAATGCAGATTTTAAATGTCATTTATCTTATTCTGACTAAATATTATTATTTCTATTTCAAAAAAAGTCATGAAAAGTCATTTATTACACAAAATTTCTTGATTTTTTATGTCATTTTGGAATTTTCGTGATTTTTTTGGAATTTGAAAGCATGCCAAATCTCAAAAAAACTTTCAAAGTAAGAACTTACTCTAGTAGTTAATTACAAATAACTGAAATATTTAGAATTGCCTTTAAAAATTCCAGCAATTTAAGAACAGTAGTATATGAGGAAGGGTTTTGTGACTTTTTTTGTAAACGTAAGAATTCATACAATATTGAACGATTTTGTATCATTTTTTTTAACATATGAAGTAAAAAATGTATGATTCTTACGGTTTTTATTCTTACGTTTTTGAATAAATCAAGATTTAAAAAATTTTCAAAATTGTAAGACATTTACACTCAACCCATACATAATGTAATGAAAAATAAAAGAAGCTATATATATAGATGATGTCAGATATTCCGCGATTAATTATAGAATTGTTTAAATCATGAATGGGTTAAACTTCAATTTAAAAATGAAGATTGTGACTTTTTTTGTAAACGTAAGAATTCATACAATATTGAACGATTTACACTCAACCCATACATAATGTAATGAAAAATAAAAGAAGCTATATATATAGATGATGTCAGATATTCCGCGATTAATTATAGAATTGTTTAAATCATGAATGGGTTAAACTTCAATTTAAAAATGAAGATTGTGACTTTTTTTGTAAACGTAAGAATTCATACAATATTGAACGATTTACACTCAACCCATACATAATGTAATGAAAAATAAAAGAAGCTATATATATAGATGATGTCAGATATTCCGCGATTAATTATAGAATTGTTTAAATCATGAATGGAATCAATGGAGTCATAATCGAGTAAAAGAAATTAGAAACTAATGATTATTTGAATTTATGAAATCAATTATTTGATTCATTCTTTCTTCAATCTCTTCTATTCTTTTTGTTAAATCATCAATTTTCATTAATGAGGTGATTCTTGATTGAGGAATAGATTTCAAACTAACCACTCCTTTTATTTTTGAAATTTTGAATCCATCAACTTTAAACATTTTATTCAATTTACACGTTGTCAATTCTTCAAATAATTTTTTATTATTGGTATAATAGTCATTAAATTCTTCAACAGATGAAAAAATTTTTATTTCAGTAATTGGTTTAACAACGTTTATTTTTTGTTGAACATTTTCACTTTCATTTATTTCTTCCTCCTCTGTTTCATTTATTTTTAAAATTGGTTTCATTTATCATTAAATAAAAATTAGAATATAAGTGATGAAATATATTTTTTTAATTAATATTAAATCAGAAATGGCGGCAGGATTCTTTAAAAAATTATGGGATGGAATTAAGAAAGCTGCGGGTTGGGTTCATAAAAAGATTATTAAACCCATTGCAAACTTTTTGGCACCAGTAGCGAAAACGGCAGGAACTATCATAGGCGGCGTATTAGGTACTAAAGCAGGTAATCCAGCGATGGGAGCACAAGCGGGTAACGCAATTGGTGGAATTGCTGAAGGAATACTTAATAAAATAGGAGGTAGATAGTGGAAAAATAAATATTATTTTTATCTTAGTATCGGTTGTAGTCTTTGATAAACTTTTTCTCCTTTATTTAAAATTTCTCTTATTGGGGCAGCTTTTGGTGTTATTGTTTCAGCTACGTCACTAATTGCTTCTTTATTCTTAAATATCCAATTTGCTCCCTTCTTCAATGTTTCCCAAACTTTACTCGCTCCTCTTTTTACTCTATCCCACAGTTTCTTAAATATACCTGCAGCCATAGTTGATTATTTCATTAAAATTAAAAATTCATTTCCATCTTTTAATTTTAATTTTTTATTTATAAATAAATGACGACTAACTATTTAGTGCCAAACACTAAACCATTAATGGAAATGTGTTTCATTCATTCGAAAAGATAAATGAAATATTCGCAAAGAATGATGGTAGAAGATATTATAGAGAACTTGAAAGTTCATGCTATGACTCTGATGCTCCATATTTTGATGATAAACAAACTCATTTAAGAATTACAAATCCGGCTCATGATGTGAACCAATTAGGTGACACATATATTAAACGCAAAGTTAAAGCAACTCTAGTTTCAAATAAAGCTTTCACATGTGATGCCGCTTTTAAATGCATGCGTTTATTCGTTGGTTACAAATCATCAAATCAAAGCTTTAAACAATTAGAAGTAGAAACCGAAAGAGGTGATGCCGGTTATCTTCAATGGATTGCGCCCGTGAATCTTTCGCATTTGCAACATATAAACCAAAATCAGAAAGGAAAGTTAAAAAGTTTGTTCATTCGTTATATAATAATGTTCAAAAATATGATAACTCAGTATGTGGTAAATATATTGACCCTTCAGAAGTTTTCAAGAAAGCAAATGAAGAAGTTGATGTCACTTTTGATATGATTATTCCGGTAAATGATTTGTTAGCATTTCAGGCGTTCGATGATTATCCTAAATCATTTGGTGATATCATTCTTAAATATTATGTTTTCAGGGATACTTTAGTATTTTGTCAGGTTGACCCGTTAAGAGTTGCTGATTTACAAAATTACGTTTATGAAAAGATAACTGATGAAAATTATGAAAAGATTATGAATCATGTTTATAAATATGATCGCAAATTCCAACAAATCGGACTTCCTGCCAAATTAATTACAAGCTTAGCCGCTACATCTGCTGACGCAACAGTTGATGACGTTATTATTTCATGCACAAAGATGGAAGTTTTAGAGGATAAATGTATTACACCAGGATACGGTTTAATTGAAGAATCAGTTAAAGCAATACCACGTTTATTCAGTAAGGAAGATCCATTCATGATTCCAGCTCAACATATTGACGTTCGTTCACTAAATGGAGGTTGCATCACTCCTGAAGGTATTAGCTCAGATTTCTCATACGCTCTTCATAATGTTACAGATGTTGTGTTAACATTTCCGAAAAATGCAATGCAAAGAACAGTTTTAGAAAATCCAATGCTTCGAGGTCTTCAGGTCACTATAGATTCCAGAAACTTCCCCGATCAAGCGATGACCACAGTGGGTGACATATTCTTTACACGTATGCTTCAAGCTTCTGATTTAGATGGAGTGAATGAATGCACGGAAGAATACGAGGACTCATTAACTAGACCACTGAATGATGATGATGGCACGCCATTAGCTAGAACATGGAAAGACCAAACTTCATTCTTATGCACTATTCCAGTTCAACGTGATGGAGCGGGTATATTCTTTGATGGATTAGAAACTTTCAACTCACAAGTTACAGTACAAGTGAAAGCTTATCCAATCATTCAGGGTGAAAATGACACTTACTGTTCAAAGGTGACAAATCCTCCTCAGGTTTGGTTTACTAGGACTACATATTGGACATGGACACCGGATGAAGGTTTGAAATATCATCCAACAGGTACACCACCACAGTATAGAAGTTCATATGATGAAATATTGATGAATAGAAATGTTTAAAATTATAAATTTATTTTTGATTAAATGGATTTAAATTCATCCACCCCTTATGAAGAATTAGCAGGAGTATATAATACATACGTAGATGATATGATTAATGAAGCATTGAGTGATAATAAAATATGCTCTATCTAAGGAAAAATTAATGAAAATTCCATATTCTTGAATGTTACTTAAATTCAATCTGCAGCAATTGGTAAACAGAATAAAGGTAAAACATTAACGATATTAAAACAAATTATCATTATTGCTAACACTTCCCCCATTCACATGTGTTAATTTATATCAACCGTTCAGGTTCACCTTCAGATGATATATTTGAATCTTTAAAGCATTTAATCAAAATTCCAATTATTTATTTATCACAAGAAGAAGCAGAAGATTATTTAAAAAACTTTTTAATGTATAAAGAATTATATAAATACAATCAAGAAGCAAGGATTAGAGGATAAAATTATTGATAAACAACGGGATGAATTATTTGAAACACTTTCCATTTCAAATTTTGATAAAGAATTTTTGCATTCACTCATTTTTCTAGATGATGCAGTGAAATCAAAACTAATAACAAATGAGAAATCATATTTTAATCAGTTATTAACTCAATGTCGACACATTCAATGTTCATTTTTCATGGCTGTTCAATATTTCAAAGCATTAAGCACAAACATTAAATCAAATCTATCAACCCTTTTCATTTTCAGTGGGTTTAGTCGTCAACAGTTGAACGTTATGCTTTATCAAGTGAATTTACCAATGAGCATTAATGAACTTTACACACAATATCAGCAATTAGGTGAACATGGAAAAATAATAGTTGATTTAAATAAAGGGGGTGTTAAATTTGATTAACTTTTTATAATTAATTTTTATTTTTTATTTATAATTAAACATGACAGAAATAGCAAATCTTATGCAGGTTCCATTAAAACAAGGGACAAACAAAAGGGGTGTATATAATAGAACTATGAAAGTTCCCGATGGAATGAAAGAATTAGTTCATATTGTTGCTGGTCTTCAAAAAGATGTTAAACAAATGAGAAATGTTTTAACATTACCAGAAGCTCAAGCATATGCCAAACGTCAAGGTCCAAATTGGGAAGCACATGAAGCAGACATTACAGGTCCAAATGGAAAAACTGATGGTATAAATGAAGTTTTCGTTACTGATGGTCAAGGTAATATTAAAGTCATAAATGGTTATAAATTAACTGTATCTGATTATCCTAAACGTAAAGCATATAATGAACGTTATCCTATGCAATTTGATGAAAATGGAAAAGCTGTTAAACAATACATTGGAGAAGGTGAAAATGGTCCAATTAATTCATACCGTCATAATCCATATTCTTATTTCAATGAGGAATTAAATGCTATTGAAGAGGTACCGGATGGATTACCACGATATTCAAACCAGTTTGATGGTCAATATGCAAATATTAGACCTGAAATTTCAGCTAAGAAATTCTTTAAAGTTGCTTTATTCGATCCAGTTTTCGCAAATGTTAAAGATGAACTTAAACAGCAATTCCAACCAATTATAGTAGCAAGAATTGCATCAGGTGCTTTATCTCAAGCATTCAAAGATTTAATTAAGAAACCATTATATCAGCAACGAGGTTTAACTTATGATTTAGTTAAGGAATCAGATAAAAGAAAATTTGAGAAATCAGTTGATTATAAGAATGCAATTAATGAATATATTTGGTCTATTAATTTCGATGAAACAGCTAAAAATCAACTTCATGAACAAATACAGGGGATAATAGATTCAAAAGTTCCGGCAAAATAAAAGTTTAAATATATTTTTTTTATTCGAATATAAATGAGAAGACGTTTTACTAATCAAAAGAACACTAACGCGAAAGCAGAGATTACGGTTGGTTATAACGTAAATGATGATAAATCACGAATTATTCAAAATGTTAAAGTTAATGTTAGCCCTGAATTAACAAGGTCAGCAACTCAACCAAATTTATTAATTCGTGACTTACCGAAGAATGAGGAGAATGAAGAAAACCATGAGAATGGAGACCCAATCATTTTATCTGAACCTGGTAAAGAACCCGTTGAAATTCCCACTTATCCAACATACCCAGCACCTCTTTCATCAAACATCGAGAACCCATATAAAATAGACATTAATTTTGAATTAATGAAAATTTACCGTGATATAATAATTAATAATTATGATTCAATAATAAATTTAATTGATCAATCCGGTTTAATTATTTTACCTTATGAATCATTAATTCACATTATCTCCATTCTTTGTGATGTTCAAGATTCAGACGTTAAGATTCAATTTTTCATAGATGATGAGGTTTCATGCTGTGGAATAGTTGCAAAAATAAATCCTATAAAGGATATTAGCACAATTAAGATATCAAAGAATGGAACAACAACCGAACTTCATTTAACATATAATGATATTTATAATAAAATAGTTGATGAATATAAAATATCACTTGAAAAATTCTTTGTTAAGGCTATTTAATACTCAAGCATTAACATTATCGAATAATATTCCTTTGAATCATAATCAATAATAATTGACCTTTCACCAGTTTCTATCGTTTGTTTTATTTCTTTTTGTTCCCCACTATCTGGATCAGTTATTGTAATTGTTTTTGTTATAGTATCAGCTTTATCTTTAACTTCAATCTTTTTTCCATCAGGATATTTAAACCAAAATTCCAAAAATTCGATATTGTCAATCTGTTCATATTTTAATCTATCAATTACATTTTTAATACCATCTGAAAATCTTATGAAATGGTCATTATATGGGTTTGATTGAACTAAATTTGAATGAAGTGAAATATAACCCGTTGATGAATATGACATCGACTCATATTTTCTGAAAACACTAAAATTTATAACATGAATGAATTTCGTATTCGTTGAATTTATGAATTCTTGAGGTAATCTTATCCTAGTTTTATTTATCACTGGAAAATAACGCTTTACCATATTTTTAATCGTAATAAAAATGTCAATTATCAATATTATTTCGAATAATAGTTGTGAATTAAATTTAACAGTTAGTGGAATTTATAATGTTACTCTCGTTTCTGTGAGTGGTAAATTTAATCCCATTCTTTTAGACCCTTCAGATTATATATCATTTATTAAAGATGACCATGAAAAAACGTATGATATGTATATAAATAATGTGATAACAAAATGGGATATTAACACGATTTTAAGTTATTTAAATGAATCATTTATCGTATGGTATGAAGAAAATTTTAAATCAAAACCTGATAAACTTTTTGAACTTGATGAAATAAATAACCTTATTAAATTCCCGCTGAAAATTAAATTTTGTACTCCTCATTTTCGTTCATTGTTGGGGATATTAAATTTTGAAAAAGATGTTGGGGATGTTTTATATTCTGACACTGGTTCCAATTTCATTTTAATCAAATGTGATAAAGTTAATACCCCAATGAGATTTTCACATCAAACATTAGACCCTAACTCTTATCCATCAATACAAAACATTTTATCCATCAACTTAAACACATTTTCTTTATCATATCCGTTTCAATTATCCGGGAATTCATTTATTCTTCATTCAAAAGATTTATCAAATATTAAATTTAGAATAACTGACCTATTTGATTGTGATTTAGAATTTATGAATGAAATATTATGGCAATTTCAAATAGAAAAAATAGCTGATGAGATAATGGATTAAATATTTATTTTTAAATCGTAATAAATGATTAAACAACAGCAACCACAGCAACTTAAGGTGCAAACCATTACATACGCCATATATGCATATAATTCAAAGACGGCAGAACAAACGCAAAGGTTGAAATATGGAGATTTGGAGATAGTATTGAAAAATGACCGTTTCGAATTCGTTTGCAAAGGTGGTGCAGTGATATCAAATATAAAAGAAATTTTATTTATGAATTCAAAAATTAAAGGTATAACGGATGATGTAACATCAATTCCACCAGAAGAACAAAGATATTACGCATTAAATGCATTTCCTAAAGTTTTGAAGATTGGAAGATTTAATTTAAATGAGGAATTCATAAAAGGTTTCCTAAACGACATAGAGAAGAAAGCGGATAAGGAAAATGTGGCTAGTGAATTAATGAAGAAGGCAAATTTGGTTTATGTGGATGAAAAAGATAATGAAATTAAAGAAAGGGTTGAATGGTATCATGAATGGACATCGAAGATTTTTAAAACTAAAGCTGATACAGGATGGGTTTCAGGATGTTTAGACCTTAAAGCGGATAAAACTTATGTTAATGATGAGTTAGAGAAGAAAGCGGATAAGGAAAATGTTAACGAAATATACCAAAGTTTGATAGGAACAACAAAAAATATTGAAACTATTGTTGGTGACTTTTCTGTCAATGAAGAAAATAAATATTTTAGATGGCAGTTTGTACAGTCCTTAAAAAATGGTACACGGTGTAAACTCATTCCGAAAAATAACAATGAAATGTATGTAAGTTATAAAAAGAATGATGACACACAAGTTAAAGTTCCATTAGACAACAACTGTTACTTAAACTTATATGGAGACGAACAAAAGAAATATTTAAGAGTTTATGAAATGACAGATATGACATTGTCTAACCTAGCTCCAGCACCATATTATTATGACTATGGAGATGATGTCAGAACACCACATGTAGATGAACAAAAGTTAACATTATATTTAGATTATTATAGATATAAAAGATATAATGCAATAGAAAAAACGAGAATAGTATATTATTATACGGATGACAAAAATAAATATTATAGTCAAGATTTTACCCACCCTGAAAACATAAGATTATATTATAAAAAATATTCTAACTCAAACCAGAAGAAACCGGAAATAGTTGCACTATATTTTAAGTTCAAAAGAGACAATCCTATAATATCTCATATGTTTGATTTAATGAACCCAGTAGGTTCTATTTATACATCTATGGATGCAAGAGGTCCTCAAGCAATGTTTGGTGTTGGTGCATGGGAACAAATAGTCGACAGGTTTTTGTATTGTGCAAACTCTTCAAAGGAAACAGGTGGAAGTAAAACGATTACAGGTGAAAATTTACCTGCACACAGTCACTACATAGATTTAAGCACATCACAAGCAGGTTGGCATAAGCATAGATATTGGGATTGGTCAGGAATGACAAAAGGTAAAGGATATGATGTTAAAGACGACGTTAAGTTTGCTATAAATTGTTACTGGAGTGACACTCAGGGAGAAGGAAACCATACACATTTCGTTTCAGGATATACACAAACAACGGGACAAAGTAAAGAATACATGCCATCTTACATGACAGTTTACGCATGGTATAGAGTTCAATGAACGCTCAATGTTTGTTTCACAAACTTTAGAACGGACTGAAAGTCCTGAGCTCCAAAAGAGCGAACTGTATAATTTAAATTTTTATTTTTAGTATAAATGAAGATTCTACCATATGGTGTTATTGGAAGAGATAAAGATGGAAACCCAATATTTGATCCAAAGTTAAAATTAAAGTTACTGACAAGACAACAACTTAAAAACTTGCTGAAACCAAAACAGGACGAGAAAATGAGAAAGAAAAAAATTTAAATTATGTAATTTTATTTTTATCATAAATGACAAAATTAATTAAGTCAACTATTTCTAAATTAATGTTACCAATGAAATCATTTCGTGGAGTAATTATCCCAGGTTCTTCACAATTAGCCAGGACAAGTGTTGGGACTCAAGGTGGAACATTAGCGAATCCATTCAAATTATTAACTAAAGATGAAGTTAATAAAATGATGATAAAATAACTGATAACAAAATTTGATTTCAGCGCTACCATGACAATTAACTTCTCTGAAAAAATGAGACAACATGACATTTTGACAACAGTCATGAAAATATATTTTTATCGTTAATGGTTTCGTTAATGTTTTTAGGTTATTCAATAATTATTTATTTTTGAATAACTGATGAGGTCACCGGGTCACCAGGTCACCAGGTAATTTAACTTCTCTGAAAAAATGAGACAACATGACATTTTGACAACAGTCATGGAAATATATTTTTATCGTTAATGGTTTCGTTAATGTTTTTAGGTTATTCAATAATTATTTATTTTTGAATAACTGATGAGGTCACCAGGTCACCATGACATTTAACTTCTCTGAAAAAATGAGACAACATGACATTTTGACAACAGTCATGGAAATATGTTTTTATCGTTAATGGTTTCGTTAATGTTTTTAGGTTATTCAATAATTATTTATTTTTGAATAACTGATGAGGTCACCGGGTCACCAGGTCACCAGGTAATTTAACTTCTCTGAAAAAATGAGACAACATGACATTTTGACAACAGTCATGGAAATATATTTTTATCGTTAATGGTTTCGTTAATGTTTTTAGGTTATTCAATAATTATTTATTTTTGAATAACTGATGAGGTCACCAGGTCACCATGACATTTAACTTCTCTGAAAAAATGAGACAACATGACATTTTGACAACAGTCATGAAAATATATTTTTATTGTTAATGGTTTCGTTAATGTTTTTAGGTTATTCAATAATTATTTATTTTTGAATAACTGATGAGGTCACCGGGTCACCAGGTCACCATGACATTTAACTTCTCTGAAAAAATGAGACAACATGACATTTTGACAACAGTCATGGAAATATATTTTTATCGTTAATGGTTTCGTTAATGTTTTTAGGTTATTCAATAATTATTTATTTTTGAATAACTGATGAGGTCACCAGGTCACCATGACATTTAACTTCTCTGAAAAAATGAGACAACATGACATTTTGACAACAGTCATGGAAATATATTTTTATCGTTAATGGTTTCGTTAATGTTTTTAGGTTATTCAATAATTATTTATTTTTGAATAACTGATGAGGTCACCAGGTCACCATGACATTTAACTTCTCTGAAAAAATGAGACAACATGACATTTTGACAACAGTCATGGAAATATATTTTTATCGTTAATGGTTTCGTTAATGTTTTTAGGTTATTCAATAATTATTTATTTTTGAATAACTGATGAGGTCACCGGGTCACCAGGTCACCAGGTAATTTAACTTCTCTGAAAAAATGAGACAACATGACATTTTGACAACAGTCATGAAAATATATTTTTATCGTTAATGGTTTCGTTAATGTTTTTAGGTTATTCAATAATTATTTATTTTTGAATAACTGATGAGGTCACCAGGTCACCATGACATTTAACTTCTCTGAAAAAATGAGACAACATGACATTTTGACAACAGTCATGGAAATATATTTTTATCGTTAATGGTTTCGTTAATGTTTTTAGGTTATTCAATAATTATTTATTTTTGAATAACTGATGAGGTCACCAGGTCACCATGACATTTAACTTCTCTGAAAAAATGAGACAACATGACATTTTGACAACAGTCATGGAAATATATTTTTATCGTTAATGGTTTCGTTAATGTTTTTAGGTTATTCAATAACTATTTATTTTTGAATAACTGATGAGGTCACCGGGTCACCAGGTCACCAGGTAATTTAACTTCTCTGAAAAAATGAGACAACATGACATTTTGACAACAGTCATGGAAATATATTTTTATCGTTAATGGTTTCGTTAATGTTTTTAGGTTATTCAATAATTATTTATTTTTGAATAACTGATGAGGTCACCGGGTCACCAGGTCACCAGGTAATTTAACTTCTCTGAAAAAATGAGACAACATGACATTTTGACAACAGTCATGGAAATATATTTTTATCGTTAATGGTTTCGTTAATGTTTTTAGGTTATTCAATAATTATTTATTTTTGAATAACTGATGAGGTCACCGGGTCACCAGGTCACCAGGTAATTTAACTTCTCTGAAAAAATGAGACAACATGACATTTTGACAACAGTCATGGAAATATATTTTTATCGTTAATGGTTTCGTTAATGTTTTTAGGTTATTCAATAATTATTTATTTTTGAATAACTGATGAGGTCACCGGGTCACCAGGTCACCAGGTAATTTAACTTCTCTGAAAAAATGAGACAACATGACATTTTGACAACAGTCATGGAAATATATTTTTATCGTTAATGGTTTCGTTAATGTTTTTAGGTTATTCAATAATTATTTATTTTTGAATAACTGATGAGGTCACCGGGTCACCAGGTCACCATGACATTTAACTTCTCTGAAAAAATGAGACAACATGACATTTTGACAACAGTCATGGAAATATATTTTTATCGTTAATGGTTTCGTTAATGTTTTTAGGTTATTCAATAATTATTTATTTTTGAATAACTGATGAGGTCACCGGGTCACCAGGTCACCAGGTAATTTAACTTCTCTGAAAAAATGAGACAACATGACATTTTGACAACAGTCATGGAAATATATTTTTATCGTTAATGGTTTCGTTAATGTTTTTAGGTTATTCAATAATTATTTATTTTTGAATAACTGATGAGGTCACCGGGTCACCAGGTCACCAGGTAATTTAACTTCTCTGAAAAAATGAGACAACATGACATTTTGACAACAGTCATGAAAATATGATGCAGCCCAAAAATAAAGTTGGTTTTAAAATTATTTTTATTTTTTTATTCCTATATAAATGACGGCAACAAACAACAACAGCAACTATATCGTTTCTGATGAAAAAGTTATTGATTCATTAGTTGAGGAATTAGTTGTGGCAGAAACTAAAACCCTCAACGAAAGAATTGGTGAAAACAGGATTGATTTACATAACTACCTCAAACATGATGGAGGAAGAGGAAGGAAAACCGGTATGGCTTTATTAGTAAATAAAATTTCAAATTTAACGATTGTAGATGTTGATATCAATAAATCATACGATGATGAACTTAAAGAAACAGTTAGAAAAGACATTTTATCAAAACTTTCGGATAAAGATGTTATCGTTAAAACCGCTTCGGGAGGTCTTCACATTTATTGCAACACTAATTTCTTCTATGCAGTTTCGAACAGAATGATTAAATGTTATTCCTGCAATGATTATGATATTGATATAATGACTTCTATTGATGAATCAAAGCGTTCTTTAGTGGTTATGGCTGATTCAAGAGTTCGCAAGAATGCAACAGAACCAATCAATACATACTCATTCATTCGTGGAAGTTATGATTCAACATTAACCAGAACAGTGAATGATATATTAAATGATTTGAATATTAAGGTAAGAGTTGAACAAAAGAACGAAGAAATAAAGACTATCATGAATGAAAACAAAGATGTAAACATTGACGATAAACTAGCTCAAAGCATAGTTGATGGCATCTGTGATTTTGAAGTACATAATGACGGTGGAAACAAGAATTTAGAAAAAGAAATAACATTATTCACACTGTTTCAAGCAATTAATTCGTTACCTAATCATTTAATTAATGAAGCATACGATAACGTTTATAACTTCTGTAATTTAACAGAAAATGCAAAAAGTAATTTTGAAAAAGCACGTGGTAGATATGCACATTTAATGACTTCTCCATTTGTTTTGGTGAAGATTCTGAAACTTTATCAAAAAGAATATTATGATGAATACGTTTTACCTTTATTACGTAAGCCAAAAATAACATTTGATATCAAACTTGATGACTCGTTTTTGATAACAGATATTAGACGCAAGGCTGAAAATCATCAGTATAAAAACAGTTCTGAAGTAATTGAGGATTTATCACGTGTAATCCGTTTTGTAGATTGTGGAAATAAATATTTCATTCAAAAGGACTATAATATCCACGACAAAATGAATCAAATATCATTCGTTCTTCAATCAAACATGAAAGAGTCACTTAAAATGATTAAATTATTTAATGAAGAAGGTAAAACCATAACAGCATGGGATGTACTATTAAATCAATTGTCTTCATTAACCGTTAAGGGTGTTTGCTTTAAATCTAATTCTTCGGATGTTTTCTCAACGTTTCAAGGTTATAAATACAACATTCTCGAAAAACCTGATTACTCAAAAATTGAGATGTTTATGAATTTCATTAAAGAAGCCATTTGTGATAATAACGATGAAGTGTATAAATACCTTCTCGGCTGGATTGCATCAATGATTCAACATCCTGGAATCAAGAATGAAACAGCAATTATTTTGAAAGGACTTCAGGGAACAGGTAAAAACAGATTCACGGATATTATTTCCGAACTTCTCGCTGGTTATTCATGTAAAAACATTACTGAAATAGGTGAGCTAACGGGTAATTTCAATTCAGTAGTTGAGAATAAAATGTTTCTTGTACTTAATGAACTCAAGAATGTAGGTGAAGACAGACTCGCAAACTTCAACGCTTTGAAATCAATTATTACGGATAATGA